ACAACCAAAGCACATCCCCCCGAAAAAAGGGGGGCAGGGAGCATGGAGATGGCTCTGTTGGTAAAGTTGACGAAATGCTTGCTGTGTTAGAGAACTGTAGTCAGACGTCCAGAAGCTGGGCCGGATATGGTGGCACATGCCTTTAATCCCAGGGAGGCAAAGGCATGCAGACTAATCTACATAGCAGAACCTGTCTCCAAAAACATAAAAATAAAAAATGAAAAAGCCTGTGGTTGTGCATGTTTGTAACCCGGGTCTAAGGTAGCCCGGGTGGAGACAAGCGGACAGATAGCAGGGCTGACGTCAGTCTAACTGAAACCCTGGGAGCCAGAGAAAGGGCTCAGTAGCTTCGGGAGCTTGCAGCTAACCCTGAGTGTGGGACAATTTGAGTGTAATCTGAGTTCGAGCCCTAGGACCCCATAGTGCAAGGCGAGAAACGCCTTGTGAAAATTCTTCTCTGACCCGCCACAGCCGTGTGCACACACACAAATAAGTCAACACTGCTTTTAAAAATAAAGTGGTGCTGCAATCGGTCTCACATCAACCTCTGGCCTCCGCAGGTGTCCACGGGCGAACACGCCTTCACACACGTGTACACACGCCAAAACAAACAGAGAAAGGGTCTTAAATGCAGCCCCCTGGGGAAACAAACAACATAAGCGCCTTCAGAGACCGAGGCTGGGAAAACCATTATTGTCATTAGTTTTGATGTCGACTTCCACAGATTGGAATCACCGGAGGAGGGGGGGAGGAGCTGCACCAGAAGAACTGCACTGATAGCCAGGACAGCTGGAGGAAGACCCTGCCCTAAGGTGGGCGGCACCTTTTGGTAGCAGCCCAGGTAGGAAGTGCGTTGGGTAGGGGGTCGCCTTTTTCTTTTTGGCCTTTCCTCTTGCTGAGGAGTTTGCTTTTTACCCTATGTCGTAGTTGGGGTTTTCATTACTGTGAAGAGACACCTTGGCCACAGCAACTCTTACAAAGGAAACATTAATTGGGGTGGCCCGCTTACAGTTTCAGAAGTTCAGTCCATTGTCATCATGGCGGGGGCGCATGGTGGTGTGCTGGCAGGTGTGGTGCTGCCTACATCCTGACTCAGAGACAACAGGAAGTCAACTGACTGTCACACTGAGGGAAGCTTGAGCCAAAGAGACCTCAAAGCCAGCCCCCACAATGACACACTTCCAACAAGGCCACACCTCCTAATAGTGCCACTCCCTTTTGGGGGCCGTTATTTCAAAACACCACACCCTGTTGCTTTTGATCCCTTCCCTGACATCAGAACCAGCGTTTCCAGGCATTTTCAATGAACTAAAGACCAGTGGCTGTCCAGATGGGGACCGCCAAGGCTCCCAGCCTGAGAACCAGAAACTTGCAGATTCTCAGCCTCTCAGGTGTGATTCAGCCGATGTTGCTATTTTAACACAGGCATGCCGTGTGTGTGTGTGTGTGTGTGTGTGTGTGTCCATCCTACTGTTTGTGTTCCTTTAGAGAACCCTGACTAATACAATCACAGATTAAGGTCAATCCTGAGGGGGCAACAGGGGATAGGAGGGGAGGAGATAGGATACCCAGCGAATATCGCCTTTCTTCTTCATATGGCAAGATCTGCTCCCAGCACGATTGGGAGAAACGCAAAGCACTGTGGCAATTTGTGTGTTTCGAATCATCGCTTGGTTTTTCTATCACCGTCAGAAACACCAGCAGATATGGTTTACTTTGGCTCAGCCTCCTCGATTTCAATCCATCATCTCCGGCTCTATTGTTTCTGAGTCACCCAAAGCAATACTTCGCGGCCTAAGAGAGCTGCTCTCATCAGGACAGCCAGGAAGCAGAGAGGGCGGGGCCAGGGCATGGCATGTTCCCAAGGGCAAACCTCCAGTGGACTGCTTCTCTCAGTTAGGCTCTGCCTGTTAAGTCTCCAGCATGTCCCTACAAAGTAATACCATTCGGGGACTGTGCCTTTAACACCTGCGCCTGGGAGGGACAGTTCGAATTCAGGCCGGACAGTCATGAAATGCAGGTAACATCCCAGAGGAGGGCACGCTTGAAAGGTCAAAAGGAAACACAGAAATACGGGTGGGCCTCTCATGGGGTGTTTTCCCCTACTGTCTTAGACCAATCTTGCTGAATGCCATGATGTATGTAATAGTGGCGCTGTGATGTTGCATGGAAAATGTCTCTCTTGTTCAGCACAGTGGTTACCTCTCTCCTCAGTCAGAGCTGAGTCTTGGCAGCCCAGTGCCATGTAGCTTGTCAGAGCTGTGACCAGCATGGTCTACACAGAGGTTGCTCATCCATCCTGCTGGAGGCTGGGAGGAGTCAGAGATCCAGGCCTCAGTGAGGGAGGCCTACTCCCTCCGAAGGCACTGCAGCCAGCCCCTGCCACACTGCAGTCCCTTTACTGTGGGGATGTAGCTGCAGTCCTCACACACGGTTTCCTCACACACCCAGCCATCTCCGCAACTTCCCCTTCACGAGCCCATCATCCGTATTAGAGTAGGAGCCCAACCTCTTTGGTATGAGCTCATTACAGCTAATTACATCTCGGTGACAATATTTCCAAGCATCATCACGTTCTGAGGTTGTGAAGTTTGGAACCTCGGCGTACAGACCCATGTGGGGGAACACACAATTCCGCCCACAACTGGGTGGGTTTTCCTCCGCGCTTCCAGTGGAAGAAACCCCTGCAGCTCTCCTGTGTGCCAGTCACCTCCTCCCAGATCCTCTATGCTATGTCCCCTTCGTATGCCCGTGACTTATGTCAAACGTTTACTTCTTTTGCTGGAGTCATTTCTCAGTCTCGACTAACAGGCACTGAGACATGCTAGGCACAGATGTCTCCAAATCTGTTTGTGTAGTCTCAGATTCAAGTCGAGGCCCGGCTCACACACACTAGGCTCCCTGTATGGGTTTTCTCATACCTTATGACTTGTGTTGTGGACTATTATCTTAACTGTGTAAAGGTGTGTTACATTTGTTTCTGCTGATTTTGCAACGAGGCAAAGACCTGTTACATTTGTTTGAGTAAATAAAATAACCTGGGGTCAGAAGGTTGAGTCAGCAACCGGCTGACAGAAAGCAGGTAGGAAGAACTCAGTGTAGAGGGTCCTTTAGGGGGGGCTGAGCAGAAGGGTGCGCCTTTTTTTTTTCACAAGAGGTAAGCAAGGAGAGGTTGGCTGTTTGCCACTCTGCCTCTCTGAGCTAGGAGGGCGTCCCCTCAGCCTTTGACTCCTGGGTTCAATGGAAAGGATGGAGATTTGCCGTGACAGAGATGGTGCAGGGTGGGGGGTGGGGGAGGACAGAATTGGCTGCTGAATTGCAGTTGTCAGTTGGGAAGGCAGTCGCTGACGGGGCAGCCGCTGTAGCAGATGAAGAACAGCCCTGGGGCCCTAGAAGTCATGTGCTAGTCCTGGTTGCTGGTGCTGTTGGGAGGAGGCACCAACGTTAGGGTATGGGCATCTGCACTCGGCACTTTTTCATTGTTTTGTGACCGATTGCTCGGCACGGTGCAACTCAAGAAAGGGTTTTATTTTGGCTCGCAGTTTGAGGGGACACGGTCCGTCATGGTGGTGAGCGGCAGGCACCACGGTGGCAGGAGTGTGCCTAGGACCCTTTCCTCAGATTTAGGAGGAACAAGGAACAGCAGTAGTGGCTGTAAGGACAGTGAGCCTCACCTCTGCCATTCTTTGATGTTTATTAGCCAGCCTGTTCACCTCAGGTGTGAGCTGTTTTCTCTCAGGGACTGTCAGGCCAAGTCCCGACCCACGTATGTGCTTGTCCTGGAATTCTCTTCTGGACTGGGAGCCAAGGGAGAGAAGCGGACTGCAGGATGCACTGCGGGGGGGGAGGAGGAGGAGGAGGAGGTTTGAGAGGAGAAGACGGATTCTCTCTGAGGTGGGTGTCCTTGTATCAGAAACGACATTCTCTGGGCTCCCATTGTCTCCTGCTTCCCAGTCTCTTCCAGATGTGCCTGTTGCCCGTGGACTGATGAGGCAGTGGCCCGTTGCCTTTGTCCACATAGGCTGGCATTGTCATGCTCAGTGCTAACATACGGCTCTGTCCTGGCAGTTCAGAACCCAGGTTCCCTCCCTGGTCCTCTGCTTATCCTGGCTCCCACCCCGCCTGCCTCATACAGGCTTCCATTCCCAGCCCTGTACACAGCTGAGAAGTCTGAAAGGGACCCTGTGCAAGGCCCTTCCCCGTAGTGCCCAGTTGGGGAGGTTGGCTTCCTATGGCTGACACAGCTGACTTAAACCTGCTGGAAGCTACGCTGCTGTCTACCAATTCGTAACCAGTTTCCTAGGAGTTCAGGAAAGCAGTTTGTAATCACAAGACCTGAGAGTCAGAACGTAGCGGGAGGGGGTCTGATTTCCCCCTTTCAGAAAGAGGCTGGAAGGTCCAGAGCGCACAAACCGTGTGTCCTGGGTTTCACAGCTCAGCAAGAGGCAAATGTAGACTTCCTGAGCCCCGGGGTCAGTAGTCTGTGGCTTTTAGAACTTCCCTTGTCATTCTTCCTCACAAAGGAAGAAGAAAGAGAATAAGGAGTAAGGGGGATGGGGAAGAAGGGAAGGAGGAAGCAGGATACTATCATTTAAAAATATTTGTGCTGGTGAACTAGTTCAATGGGTGTTGGCTTGCCCCTAAGCCTGAGGACCTGAGTTTGATCCCTGGAGCCTACATGTTGTAAGGAGAGAATGGACACCAGTATATTGTCCTCTGATCTACACGTGTACACACACACACACACACACACACACACACACACACACACACACAGAAAAAGGTATTTCAGGACCGAGGAGGTAGTTCATTTGTTGCCTAGCATAGCCTTGGGTACCAGCCCCAGGATACACGAATGGGACTTGTAAAGTACTTGTAATTCCAGCGTTTGAAAGGTGGAGACAGGACCAGGAGTTCAACGTCACCCTTTAAGTAGCAAGTTTGAGGCCAGCCTGGGTGTTGTGGGAACTTGTCTCAAAAAACAAAAGGAGGAGGAGGAGGAAAAGAAAAGTGTAGTGTTTTAGTGGGAACTGAGGGAGGGCCATTCCTTGGCTTCAAGCATCCCTCCACAAACCAGTAGCTGAGGCAAAAGGGGCCTCACTGGCCTCTTGTGTCTTATAGCAGCTTGGATTGCCGGACCTTGTTATCCGTGACTAGTAACAGAAGATGTAAGGCTGTATCCACTGGTTAACCTGGAGAGAAACTTGGAATGGAGGATTTTGCTAAGTATTAATGTGGAGCATTTCCTGAGTCACCCAGAGCCCTGTGTAGGGGTTGGGTCACTGCGCCCAGCTCCTGGGCGAATGCAGCACCAATGTCAAGACCAGCTCTACCTCCGAGTCTCATCTCGAGGTGTCTTCGCTGCTGCGCCTCCGTCCTGCGGAAACTGGACCTTAGTTCCTGGATGGCCGCTCCAGCGCGGCGGGGCTCCCAGGACACCGCAGCATCGGATTTCGCGTGGCAGCCCAGCTTCCCTTACTCGGATCCCCTCCCGCCTAGGGACACTGGAGCCAATCACAGAGCTGCACAGCTCCGGCTTGTAGAGTCCCCGGGCCCGGGACCCGCCCCTCTTTGTTGCGGTGTCCAATGGATGCCTCCAGAACATCGGCGGCTGCCCGGGTGACTCGGTTATATGTCACAGAATAACATTCGAGAATGGGACATGGAATGAGGCGACAGCCGACGCAGCTCCAGCAGCCCTCTGCAGCAATGAGGCCGGCTGGCCCGAGGTGGGTCCGTGTGCCCCGCGCGCGCCCTGACTGCCCGCAGCTGCCACTCAAGGTGTCCGCGCGGGACCCGCGGGAATGGGGCGGCGCTGCGCTTGCCCGGGAACCCCGGCTGGAGCCGCCCCTCGCGCGCCAGGGTTTGGGGGGCTTCCGGGAAGACGCCAGGCCTTAGCAAGCAGAGGTTGCTGCGGCGCCCTCGCGCCGGCTCCGGGTGCTCACGTGCTAGCTTGCTGCGGGTCGGTGGCAATCCACCACATCTGGGGACCTGGGGATGAGCGAAGCCTGGAGGGGACCCCGTGTCTTCTTGCTACACAGCTGTCTTGCTTCTTCCTACTCTGTCCCCTCTACGCCCCGTGTTCCTTGCATGCCTCCCCATCTCCGGGTGCAGCTGGGCGTGAGTTTTCGTGGCGCCTTTCCAGCCGCCTTGCTAGGTAATCCTCCAGGCTAGAGGCTTGCGTTAGTCCTAAGGGGGTGGGTCTGGGGCAGCGAGGCAGGGGGTGGGCGGGAGCCCCCTTGCCTGTCTCCTGAGCCGCAGTGTGTGCTGTTTTCACTGCTTTCAGGCCCGGCCGGTGAGCGGGGAGTTTCCTTAGCCCGTCCTGCAGCCGCAAGAGATGAAGGCCACCCCCACGGGACTCTGATTCCCGGCACGCCCAAGTCCCTCTCCACGTGCCCCTCACCATGACCGGCTCCGCGGCGGACACTCATCGCTGCCCCCACCCCAAAGGCGCCAAAGGCACCCGGTCCCGAAGTAGCCACGCGCGCCCGGTAAGCCTCGCCACCAGCGGGGGCTCGGAGGAGGAGGACAAAGACGGCGGGGTGCTGTTCCACGTGAACAAGAGTGGCTTCCCGATCGACAGCCACACCTGGGAGCGGATGTGGCTGCATGTTGCCAAGATCCATCCCAAAGGGGGAGAGATGGTGGGTGCCATCAGAAACGCTGCCTTTCTGGCTAAGGTCAGTGGCGGGGCTGGGAGAAGGCGGGATGGTCCGGATGGGCGGGATGGGGACCCGCTCAGCCAGTGAAGCACAGGGAGAAGCGACCTCATGTCCAGCCACTGAGTCCTGCCTCCCTGTTCTGCTGCCACAAGGGGCAAACCAGGGGATGCTGGCTTTGCCCTGTAAGGTTAGGGTGAGTCAAAAATCCATTATGAACGGAGCCCCTGTAACATCATCTCCATCAAAAGCTAGTGTCACCAGGTCAACACCAGCCACTCCACAAAAGCATAGAACCCCGCGTCTACCCCGCCTGCCCTCCGTGGAGTGTGTTGCTCCTCCCCTGCTCCCCTAGCAAATGATTTATGGAGCTATGAATGAACTTGTAGTCAGCCAGGCAGACTCCTCGGCTGAATCATCTATAGACTTTTTGCCAATTTTCTTTCTTTCTTTCTTTCCTTCTTTCTTTCTTTTTTCTTTTTTTTAACGACGGTGACTTTTACCTCTGGAACTTGCAGAAAACATTGCACTGCCTCTTCCCAGCTTATCCGGCGCCAAGGGGGAGAAAAGGGAAGTGCGCTTGGCTGTTGATTAAAAGGGACTTTCCAGAACATGGGATGAATTAGTCTCCCTGGTTAAAGGAAGAGGCCAAGTGACGCTCTCTTTTCACTCTGGAGGACAGCCAGCCAGCGACTGAGCTTGGTGGCCAAGGATATGGTTACAGAGGGAAGATGTCCCCTGGTGGGAGTGTCCTGTTATATAAAATAGCAAAATGCAAGCTAGGTAAAAGCCTGGCATGCCATATGGAGATGGCTCCCTGGACCCTAGGGACCGTGTTTGCGAGAAGAATCCAGGGAAGATGCAGGAATCCATACCTGAGACCCCAGAGCCATGTCGAAGTCAGTCCCTAGCCTGAGCATGCATGACTGCAGACCCAAAGGCTGTGCGCTCCCCGGGAGATGTGGGGGGGGGGGAGACTGTCTGCTTCCTACTCCATGGTGTTTTATTACTCTGCTAGCAGGGAGTTCTCTCTGTCCAAATAGCAGCTTGTCTGCCCGAGCAACAGCAGTAACGATCCCTGCTCTTGAACACAGACAGCCCAGGCTCCGAGTTCATCTTTCTCTGCTTACCCTGATCCACCAGCCCTTAAACATGGAAGAGTTGGCCAGAGGGAGCAGAGGCTGGGTGCCACTGTCAGGGCTGGCTTTCTGGTTCCTGCATCTCCTTCACTATGCCTTCATCCTTACCCCAAGTCTATGTGCGGGAGGGAGCCCTTCTCTGTGTGGATGAGTGAGGATCTTAGTGTTGCTGAAGATGACTCTCACTCAAGACCTCCTGACAGGGCATTAGTACAAGACGGGGGCACTCCACCTCTGTTCTCCATGTTCTCTATGGCCCCCTCTTCCTTCTTTTTCTCCTTCATCCCTCATCTTCCTCTTCCTCGTTTTCTCTTCTTCTTCTTCATTCTCCTTTTCCCCCCACATCAGTCTGCTCTTTCTGGACCTCAGCTGGTGGCAAACATGAACACAGACGCGATGCACTTTCCCAGGTGTTGCTGAGGCGATGCTCCCAGCATTATGGCTGAATGCTTCCTTTTTTTTTTTTATAAAAGAATGTTCCAGTCAGGCATGGTGATGAGGTCCTATCGTCTCAGGAGGGAGAGGCAAAAGAATGACACGTTCCAGGCCACCTTGGGCCCCTGGGTGTGCAGTGGGATCCTGTTTCAAAAGAGAGGAGAATGTTCCTGTACCTCGTATGTGTATTGTATGTATCATATTGTATTCTCACTGTAACCCAAGAGCCTCGAGACTCCCCAGGCCATGACCTGCTTTAGATCTGTTTTTGCTGTTTGTCTGTTTGCCTTTTTTGCTATTTATTTTCTGTGTACGGGTGTTTTTGCTGGCGCGTGTGTCTGTGCACCATGGGCTGGTGTGCGAGCCTCTGGAACTGGAGCTACAGCAGGTGGGAGTCACCGTGTGGGTGCTGGGGACTAAGCCCAGTCTTCTGCAAGAGCAGCCACTGCTCTTCGCCACAGAGCAGTCTCTCCTGTCCCCTCCCTGTTCGTGGACAGGGTCTTGATTGCATTTGAGGCCAACCTCAAGATTATCCTCTTGCCTCAAGGTTCTGGTTTCTGGGCTTACAGGCATGTCCCACCACCCCCTGGTGATGCTTGGGTCTTCTGAACTTGAGTTAAGAGCCTAAGATTTCATTTTCCTATATTGCATATTTGTTTCTTGAGAGGTTCTTTTGTAGCCTAGGTTAGTCTCGAATTCACTCTTGTTGAGGCTGGGCCTTGACTCTCTTGGACCTCCAGTCACCTTCCAAGTGAGCACTGAATCTTAATAAGTTGGGCTCTCCACCCCCAACTCCATCATGGCATCTCCTGGCTTCAATAGCCCCCGAGCCCTGGCTCCTGCCCAGGCCCAGGCATGGAAGTCTCAAGCTGTTCTGCCAGAGGCCATTCCCCTCCAACTCCAGGGCTTGGCAGCCTCTCCCGGGGCCAAGTTTTTCTTCTCTAGCCAAACACCATGCGGTGAGGAATTTGTACCAAAGGTGGGTGTTGGGACAGTGCTGAGGGGTGTCTGAGTTTGGGTGAGACCAACTACTTCATCACTGGATTGTGAGCAAGTCGCGACGGTATCTGGAGCAAGTTCCCAGGGTCTGTGAGGCAAGGATGACAAGTCCTTCAACTACAGGGTGTTCTGTTAAGGAGCATAATAAGTTCTGCCTGAAGGCCTGGGTATCTTCTCCTAGGAGCAGGGGTGGGGGAGGGTGGAGTGGGGGTGGGGCACCACTTGAGACCCTCTCTCCGAATTGTGACTGCATTCTTTTCTACACGTGTGGTTGCTGAGACCAAGTGAGCACTTGGCTAGGCTTCTGCTGGGGTAATTTAAGAAAAGATGGTGTCATTCGGGTGACACGGAATGGGCAGAGAGTTACAGAGAGTGGCAGGTGCAGAGGAGCAACTGGTCCTTCTCGGTGTGGCCCTCGTGTGTCCTGGTGCCCAGGGCCCCAGTCTGCGGAGGCCAGACACCAGGGCAGCTCAGCCGGAAAGACCACTTGCTTTTTCTGTTTTTTTCCCAGCCCCCCCCCGTGTGTCTCATTTTCACAGTCATTCCAAATTTGGAAAGAATTCACATTAGCGGGGGGCTGAGATCTGAAGTGCGAGCAGGGATTTGAAACTCCTGCAGGCTGTGTCCCCGAGCCCTGTGCTCCCAGGACGATTCCTCCGTTCTGTGGCCCGGATTCAGAACTGTCTGTCTGGATCTTCACAAGGTGTGACTCGAGGACCCTAGGCTGGCTCCTTTGATGCAGGAGCCCGGGGCCATCCTGGGATTATGATGTTCCATGCTACTTCTCCCCGGTTCCCAGGAGGTCCCTGCTGCCTGTGCAGCAAGAGAAAATGCTTTGGTTTCTCCTCGCTCTTGCTCAAGGTTGCTCAGGCTGGGGCCTCTTGCTGTCTACCTGGCTTCCCCTTAGCTTCTTCACAGCCAGGCACACACCTGTGCTCACACACCTGTGCTCACACTTCTTCTGGCCAGGCACACACCTGTGCTCACACACCTGTGCTCACACACCTGTGCTCACACACCTGTGCTCACACACCTGTGCTCACACACCAGCGCTCACACTTGTTCTCGGCCAGGCACACACCTGTGCTCACACACCTGTGCTCACACTTCTTCTGGCCAGGCACACACCTGTGCTCACACACCAGCGCTCACACACTTCTTCTGGCCAGGCACACACCTGTGCTCACACACCTGTGCTCACACTTCTTCTGGCCAGGCACACACCTGTGCTCACACACCAGCGCTCACACACTTCTTCTGGCCAGGCACACACCTGTGCTCACACACCTGTGCTCACACTTCTTCTGGCCAGGCACACACCTGTGCTCACACACCTGTGCTCACACACCTGTGCTCACCTGCAGCCCTCCCTCCTGCCTTCTGTTGGCTCTCTCGTTTGGCAAGAAGGAAGTGGAGAGGCCGGCTGCCAGAGTCTTGCCTGCAGTCCTCATTATCCTTCCCTGCCTGCCCCACACCCCTCTTTTCCAAGTCCTTGAAATGTCCCAGGGCTTCCTGGCCAGCACTGGGTCTGCCTTTCAGGGCATGGCAACTGACAGGAAGGAGGATGACATTTCACGAGGCTTTAATTTGTTTATTGGTGAGCGTAACTGGTTTTTGGAGAGTCATCATTTACATTTCTCCTTTAGCGAACCACTTTTTGTGACCTTGTTTGTTTATCGTGGTAAGATACATGACACAGGACCTATCTTTTAACCATTTTGAAGTGCGTGGCTTCTGCTGTTTGGATTCTCGATGCCCCCAAAGGTGTACCTGTTGAAGGCTTGTCCCCAGCCGAGGATGCTGTGAGGTGAGGCCTAGTAGGAAGGATTTAGGTCACTAGGGAGTGTGACCTCCCCCTCCCTGTGTCATTTCTTGGATTCCATGAGGTGAACAGACCTCCTCTACCACATGCTCGCTCCAGAGTACGCTGCGGGTCCAAAGCTATGGGTACAAGTGACATGAACTGAAAACTCTGAAACTGTGAGACAGAATCAACCCTTGTTCTTTACAAGCTAATTGCCTCAGGACCTTTGTCACAGCCACAGAAAGTTCAGTGACATAGAGGACATGCGCATGGTTGTGCCCCCATCGCCCCCTCTCATCTCCAAAGCCTTTCATTTTCCTCTGAAGCATGCGCACTAAATGCCAACTTCCCAGGGCTTCCTCCCTGGCAACCACTCTGCATTTTGTCAGTGAAGCTGACCACTCTAGGAACTTCACGCATGAAGAACTACACAGAGTGTGCCTTTAGAACTGTCTTTGTGTGTGTGTGTGTGTGTGTGTGTGTCCGCGCGCGCGCGCGCGCGAGCGCGTGTGTATACATGCACGTACACACCAAGACGCACATTTGGAGGTCAGAGAGGTGTGGGTCTCTTCCCACCTGTGGGTTTCGGGCATTGAATTCAGGCTTGGTGGCCAAGGCCTCCTGCTGAGCTGCCTCCCTGGCCCAGCATTGGCTGTTTTGAGGTTGGCGTACTTCAGGGTTCGTGCACATTTCAGGGTGTCCCCAGGAAGTGCCTGGTTTTGAAAGCCCACTAGCATCTGTCTGTGTTGGGATGGACTTTTATGTATTCTGTCCATCCACAGGCCCTGGGCTGGCCCCGCTTTTCCTCAGAGCCCAGTGAGCTTTCTTATCGCTGTGGAGTCTCCACGGATGAAGGACACCACCTCCTCACCAGCATGTGTTGAACTTGACAGTGGAGTTATGTTCTTATCCCCTATGGGGCAGGAAGACCTTCTCAGGAAGCGAGACCTCAGGGTCGTGGGTCTAGGGACTACGGTCCGTGTTGATTCTGAGCCCCTCTGGTCCAGCTCTGGAGACCGTGTTACCGATGGATGCCCCATGTGCTGCCCCGCCCCTGCTGGCTTTTCATAGAGCCACCAGGGCAGATGAGGAGCCTCAAGGGGAGGCTCTAGGGGTCCTCTTGTGGGGACTTGAACCATCATGTACATTTGATCATTACACCTCAGGGGTCCTTCCTGATTCTACTCCAGATCCAGCAGGAACATTGGCTGCCTAAGGTGCTGTTTGAAGCTGCCCCAGGCTGAGCCGCAGCCGGCTCACCTGACTTCAGGTGATGATACCTGCCACCGAGTGCCTCTGCTCTCCCCACCACAGCCCTGCCCCAGCCCTCGTGGGGGAGGGCTTAACATTTGTCCTCCTACTTGGGAGCAAATGTGGCCACAGCCAGCTGAGGCAACTGTACAGCTGTTTGCTAAATCCCTTGGGCGCCATTGGCTGCTATTCTGAGGCCCAGCTGCCTTCTGAGTCCTGCTTCACACCCTGCTCTATGGGCTCCAGGGGCTGGAGGAGGGGTAGAAATAACTCTGGTCAGCTCCCAAAGAGGGCTCTGAGCAAAGCCATGGGCTCCGGGCTCTCTGTCCCACATCCCCAGCTTCCTGGCTCTGTGATGGGATCTCCGTCTCCCTTCCCCCTCTGCTCCCAGGTTTCCTGCTCTGTACCTGGCCTAGTGGTTACGGCTACAACACGGGAAGGGTCTCTTCTTCAGCCTCCCTTCTCTTCTCGCCTCTCTCTGAAACCTCTGCTTTGTTGTTACGTAGGTTTGGTAGACGTGTGGGCGTGCTGTGATAAAAAACAAGGAGTCTCAACACTTGCTAGTGTTGGACAGAGAATTCACGTGTGAGTTTGTGTGTGAGAAACTGTTTCTGCGGGAGCGTGTGTGTGTTTGGGGGGGTGGCAAATTGAGTCATGGGAACAAATGTTCGAGTTGGAACCTTTTGCCCTCCAAAGTGGCTCTCCCAGACAAGGAGTTTGAGTTGAGGTGTTGGAGAGAAAATGTGACTTGTAGAACAGTTGGGCCTGTGTGTGTGTGTGTGTGTGTGTGTGTGTGTGTGTGTGTGTGTGTGTGTGTGTGTGTGTGTGGTATGGGCCCACACAGCCATGCTCTTGCTCAAACACACAGCGCCTTGGCTTACATGTACCAAGTGTGACTGCTTCCCTTTCAGCTGAAGGGACGGTTTCTGTGGATTTAGAATGTCTCAACGCCAAGGCTGAGCACAGGCACTGAGAGGAAACTATCATCAGGGAATGCTTGCAGTAAATGTTGCACAAGCAGGGAAGGAGCCGCCTGCCTACCCCATGCTCAGAGCACCATGCCCGTCTCTCAACGCGCACGGTGGGGCGGAGCGTGTGCCTGGAGAGCCAGGAACCCCTTAGATGATGTCTGGCTCTGCTGCCCAGCCAGTCTGTCCTCAGTCTATTGACTTCCTGCTTTACTAGCAGATTCTCCTTCCATTTGCAAAGCTGGCCCTGCTTTCTCTAAGGATGAGACTAATCTCTCCTCCCACTCTTTTTACTTTATTTATTTATTATGAATACAACATCCTGCCTCCATGTATGGATGATGCACATGCCAGAAGAGGGCGCCAGATCTCATTACAGATGGCTGTGAGCCACCATGTGGTTGCTGGGAATTGAACTCAGGACCTCTGGAAGAGCAGTCAAGTGCTCTTAACCTCTGAGCCATCTCTCCAGCCCTCTTTTTACTTCTTTTGAAGAAGCTAACATCCAGGGGAGCCTCCTCCCTTAATCCTGCACTCATAGGGACCAGGTTTCTTAATCACCAGTGACACAGCCCACTGCAGACGTGGGGAAAATGGAGTCAGTGGGGATAAACAAACCTGACTGGCGTCCTTGTGTCACAGCAGTGGTTTGGTTGAGTGCTGACTGTAGACACTTGGGGAAGGAGTTGGCTGGGCTGCCATGAGGATGCCACATGAGGCCAAGACACAGCGCTTACCTGGGGAGAGTCGGCAAGAGGACGGCCTTCCTTGGTTTTTTTTTTTTTTTTTTTTTTTTTGCACTCAGGAAAAGGGCTCAGGAAGGGAAACTGTGGGCATGTGAGGTGTGGGTGTTGAGAAATGGTGCCCATGGCTGATCACCATTCTGCTGCCTATCTTGGATGCCATCTGCCTCGTGTCCTGTGTCAACGATGTTCAAGGAGGGAGCACATATAATGGGGTCACTGTTAGCCATTTTTGCAGGATGGGCCGTGTGACAAAAATGTAGGGATCAGTGAAGCACCTTGGGACCCCACCCTGGGCCAGCCGCTGGCCTCAAGAAGGCAGCTATGTTCCCATAGAGAAGGCAAACAGTGTTACACTCAGTGTTGGGGGGCTGTACAGAACCATGGTCCAGAGTGGAGTATGTTTGGAGGGGGCTTAGAGGGCTGTTCAACGGTGGACCAGCTCTCTTAGGAGGGGGATGCTGTGGGGTAAGTGCCGCGGCTACTGGTGACTATACCAAGTGTGTGTCTGCTCCCAGGAGCAGCTCCCTCTCATGCCTGCTCCCGGAGCTGTGCTCAATCAACCTCTCAATAACAGGGGCCCCCCTCTCTCTATCTCTCCGTAGCCTTCAATTCCCCAGGTCCCCAACTACAGGCTGTCCATGACGATCCCAGACTGGCTCCAGGCCATCCAGAATTACATGAAGACGCTACAGTATCCTTTCGGCTAGGGGCTGAGCACCCCAGACAAGGGATGGGCATGGCCATTGCAAGCCTGGCGGCTTGTCTTTCACCAGCTTGTTGTCCAAAGCCCTCTAAGGTTGGAGGACGTTGGAGGGCATCCTTGGGAGAGAGCTTGCAGCACACATGCCAACCGTGACCAGAATGGCCAGGGCTTGTCCCTCAAACGGAGGGGTATGGTTGGTCCGCTGGGAGCCTGTCACTTCTCTCTTCCCCTTCCCCGCCCTTTTCTCTGCCTTCCTTGGCGTCATCTCTTCTTTCTGTTCCTTCCCTCTTTTCCCCCAATTCTTGATTATCTTTGTTCCCTTCTTTTCCTACGCGGTTAGCTTTCTTTTTCCCCCCTCCCCTCCTTAGAAACGATAGGATAAAGGGGTAGATCATTGAATCTACTTTTAAACTAAAGGAGCAACTACTAGTGTTAAATATATTTTACATTGGTATGGATTTTTTGTATACAGATACAGATTTAAGGTTATTTTTGTTAGGCTATATATGTTTCTTGTTTAAGCTATTGTGCCTGTACAACTCAAAGTTTTAGTTCTTGGAAGCTTTTTAGGATAATAAAGGCAGCTTAGTAGTTAGTCATTTACAATAATCAAACAGAGTCATGTTAGGTATGTTTTCAAGGTCATACAGAGATATTTTAAATAGATAAGTGGTCTTCAAACACCTCAGAGATCTACAGAATATGGCATTTAAAATGCTTTAATAACCCAAGGCTTTTCGTGAGACACGTCTGCTCCTGGCAGCACCAGTTTACTTCAGAAAGGGATGATGGGCATTGAAGAACCTCCTTATGGAGTTTGCTTTTATTGTGGCAAAGTTAGCCACTGGGCAAGAAACTGCCCTTGCCCTGATTGCTGATGGTATGCTGTCCAAATTGGACAAGCAGGACACAAAAGAAAGTGACTGCTGAACTTCACCAAGACAAGGTAGGGCAGTCCTTTAAAAATTCCTGCCTCATAGTAAGTCTGTCAGATATTCTAGTCCTGTAGGTCAAAGATGGATACCCCAACATTGCAGAGGAAACTTGGGTGACTGTCCAGGCAGCCAGATGTCTCTGTCATTCCTATAGTTTTGGAAGTTGCTTGCTCTGCACTTCCTGTTTACTCAGGTAATATTATTTCCTTCTTGGGTCTCTGATGGAGTTGAAGACTAGATAGTTATACTGTTTTCTTTGTTACCAAATTAAAAAGTAAAACTTACAAAAGAGATGTAAGGTTTATAAAGCTGAAAGACATAAAAGCTTAAATTGTTCATCTGAGAAGATGTTTTAAGGTCTAAAAAGATATTTTTAGGATGGTAATGCAAGTTATGATAGAAAGTGGTTTAGGTAAAAAACTTTGGAGTCATCAAGATAGGGACTGGACATTGCAAATGTAATTCTTGATAACTGATCTTAGTTTTACTGTGTTAGAGTTAAACCCTTTCCTTTTTATTTAGCTAAAAGGGGGGAAATGTTGCAAGATATTTGTGTTCCTTGTAAAGCTGTGTCTCTGCCTAAGGTGCCCTCTGACTGGTTTAATTAAGAGTCCAATGGCCAATAGCTAGGCAGGAGAGAACAGGCAGGACTTGTGGACACACAGAGAGAGACTGGGAGGAGGGAGGAATCTAGGCATGTGATTTCACCTAGCGACTGAAGAAGTCGGCCATCCAGTATAGAAGAGAGGTAACAGAACCATGTGGTGGAATGTAGATTAACAAGAGTTAGTTGGGAGAAAGCCTAAGCTAAGGCCAAGCTTTCATAATTAACAAGTCTCTGGGCCATTGTTTCTGAGCTGGTGAATAGTCTGACAAGAAAGCCTGCTACTCCTCCCAGCCTTCCCTTTCTTCCTTCTCTCACTTGTTTTACCTCATCCCTGACCTCGCGTGATCTCAAGAGACCCAACTGTGTGTGCCTCTGGTTCCCAGCGACCCAGGCAGGTGACTCCACCCAGTAGTATACACAGGGGGTTCTGGCTCTGCTGTGGGCCCCTGTCTCAGCTAGAACTGAAAGCGTACCGAGGAGCCCGAGGGTTTGGTCAAGGTGTGTTTCTGGCTTCCTCCGTGTCCTCGGGTTGTTTATCGTCAGGGTTAGTTCAGTTCAGCAGGTCCCTCAGAAGCAGCACGGTCATGGAGACAAAGGCGATGGCCATGGATGACTTGTGGTGTTTTACAGGCACAGGAGTCAGATGGGGGCCGGCGTCAGTGTGCTTTTCCCCTCCGGTTGACTGCAGAGGGCCCCTGGCATGTTGGCTTTCGTTCTGCTTGTTACTCCCCAACTTTGAGAACTTCAGGAAGCAAGGATCCTTCACCGTAGGCAAGCGTGATTATGCCTCTCCCGAAGGGATCAGACAACACCGACACTCTCCAGCCCTGTTTATTAGGAGCAATTACTTGATTAGCAACTCGGTTTCTGCCTCATGGGTCATCACCTTCCTATGTGGCACCTTCCCCGTGGAGTTCTGACTCCTCCTCAGGAGACCGTGGTGTCCCCAGAGAGAGGCTATTGGGTATTGCTGCTGACCTCCAAAATGAGACTCCATACGGGTTGTTGGTGGTGGCCGAGGGGCACAGACACCTTCCTACATGGCCCCAGGCCCCAGGGGCTGACTTTCAGTTGTCACTTGCTCATCACCAAACTTCCAGGTGTCCCGAAGTTAGAGTGGCTCTCACATCTATCTAGGACGAGCCTTCCCAATGAGCCCGGCTAAGCGTCATCCTGAGGGACAAATTTGCATGTATTCTGCATATCACTTTCCCATACTGATAGAAAAGCTGCCACACATGCCTGGTCCTCATCGTGGCCCTTATAGGGTCCTCTCTCTGCTTTTTCTGACCCATTCACGATGGCCATTGCCCCAGATGACTGACTGCAGAGCAGGCAGTGGAAAGTACAAGGGAAAATAGGGGGACCAGGTCTGCAGGCCTTTGGGGCCGTGATAACGAGAGGCAGGGTAGAAATCCTTCTATTTCTGACCCGGCGTCTAGATCCTTGGGTGCCTGACATCTTTGCCTTGACACAGGTGTCAGGATCTGGGGATCGCCTGGGGCCAGACCTGTAGGTGGATTTTTCTGCTCTGTCAACCAGCTCCCAAATAGCCTGAGGACTTATTATGAAAGCTCCACCTATAGCTTCGGCTTGTTTCTAACTTGCTCTTGCAACTTAACCAACCCATTTCTATTAACTTACTTTCTGCCTCGAGGCTTTATTACCTTTACTCTGTACAACCCAGGCTGCTTCCTCTGAGTCCTGGTGTCTCCTTGCGACTCCGCCCTTCTTCCCTGAAAATCCTACCCAGCTATTGGCTGTTTAGGTTTTAATGAAACCAATCACAGGGAAGCATCTTCACACAGTGTGAAGGAATATTCCACAACTCATACCTAACTATACATGTGCTCAGATGTCAGTGTTGTTTTGGTGGGCCAGACCCTCCCCGCCTTTCCTGAAACAGTGTAAGCAGCAGTGAACTAGAATGCCAGTTTTTTTTGTGTGTTTGTAAAAAGAGCACACAGCTTTGCTAGGTGTGGGAAGCCTGCCCAGGAGCTCTATGTTTTGCAGAGAGACACTTCCAGATGCTCCAGCTACCAACCACAAGGAACTTAGAGAAGACGGCCAGACAACTTTTCATTACTTAACTGTGGATTAATCTTACTTTTTAGAAACTAAATTCTACTTCAAATGTTCTGGGAACCCCACTGTTTGAGCAAAGTCTTTGATAGAGTAAAGAGGCACCATTTCACAATAAGAGTCCCATGCTTTTTTTCTTTTACCTCCTAAGATTTTTTTATAGCATCTTTATTTACTGTTATGAACATGGCCCAGGCCAGCCATCCTGAGGTGTGCTGGTTCACATCACCCCTGGCCCTGACTGTGCTGTTTCCAATTCAGCAGTCAGAAGTGGGACAGGAAGTCATGAGCGATGGCCACACTGGAATCTCCTCTTGAGCTGCAGGCTCTCCTTCTGTGCCCTTTGTCTGGAGGGGATGTCGTTCCTCTCAGGGCAGTGCGAGTGTGCGCCCTCCCTCCAAGCTGCGTGCATCACTGGGATGCGTGGGGAGTGAGTCCTGTGCAGCCGCCTGGACACAGCAGCAGCTCTAGGAAATCAGTCTTCATCAGCACACACTGTTTTACAAACAGGATTTCTGCTTGGAGAAAAAGAGTAAAACATACAAATCAAGTTTTCTTTAAGCTCAAAACAAAATTCAAAGTTCTGTCTCAGGAAGCATGACTTGGGGAGTCTTTGGTGGTCCAGGGTTGCTAGCTCTGGAGAACCCGGAAGTAAGTCAGAATCAGGGTATGGATAGTGGAGCCATCTGTTTAGATTAGTGACGTCAAGTGTTGATCCAGGCATGAATAGGTGACGTTTCCTTATTCAGTCCTTTGTGCTACTGAAAAGTCTTCCTGCTACACACCCACTCTCCATCTTCCCTTCAGCCCACACACATATACATCCTTTTGTCTGTGTATCCATCCACCCACCCTCCACCTATCATCCACCCATCCTCCACCCATCCTCCTCCACCCATCATCCTCCACCATCCTCCACCCATCATCCTCCACCCATTCTCCACCCATTCTCCACCCACCCTCCACCTATCATCCACCCATCCTCCACCCATCCTCCTCCACCCATCCTCCTCCACCCATCATCCTCCACCCATCATCCTCCACCCATCATCCACCCATTCTCCACCCATCATCCTCCACCCATCATCCTCCACCCATTCTCCACCCATTCTCCACCCATTCTCCACCCATCATCCTCCACCCATCATCCTCCACCCATCATCCTCCACCCATCATCCATCCATTCATCTCCCATCCATCCTTCCATCCATCCATCCATCCTCCCATCCCTCCTCCCACCCACCTACCTGTTCATCCATTTACCCTTCTTCCATCTGTCAGTTTGTCCGCCCATTTTTTCTATCCATTTTGCCATCTGTCTGTCCTTCTGAGCTGTCCGTCTGACCTTTCCTTTCTATCCTCTCACCTGTTTATCTACTGAGCTGCCCACTCATCAATTTGTTCACTTACTCCCATTTGTTTAGTAACATTTGCTAACCTGTGTGTGTTGAGCTTCTTCTAGGCTTTATGAGTGATCCAAAGGTGATGAAAGTGCGATCCCAATTCTCAAGAGCTTCTAGTCTAGCATGTGACTTAGACATGTGGTCAGGTAACTGGGACCCAGGGCAGACTGAAATGAAATATTATCAAAAGTGCATCCAGGCTCAATTAGAAATTAGATATCTGGGCTGGAGAGATGGTTCAGGGGTCAAGAGCACTGGCTTTTCTTCCAGAGGTCCTGAGTTCAATTCCCAGCAACCACATGGTGGCTCACAACCATCTATCGTGGGATCTTATGTTCTCTTCTGGTATAAAGTCATATATGCAGATAGAGCACTCGTATACATAAAATAAATATTTAAGGAAAAAAAAAGAAATTAGATTTCCGGGATTGCACAGTGAGGAGTCATAGGCTGTTGGCTTCCCCTGGCCACTGGCCAGAAGAGCAACGACTTCCTTATCCCACTAAGAAATGGGAATGTGGCCTTCTGCTGGGTGACCAGGACTTTGGAGTGTCTGTCTCTTTGCCTTTACGTATTTCACACAGATACAATCATACCGGGACCCAGTTCTTTGAAATCAGGAAAATGAGACCTCTGAGCGGGTAAGTGCTGCATGATCTGTGGGCCAGGTAGCTTCTCTCCTACAGGTGGGCCACCAGCATCCTCTCCTGACCTTGTCCCTGCCTCCTGGGGCCCCAGGATTCTAGCTTGCAGAGGGCGGGGACGGAGGTGTCCCAGGGCCACACTGTGGGTGGGGCTGAGGACTAGTTGCTCTTGGCAGCTAAACTCATCGATCGACTGGCTCTCAGACCAGGTGACCCGTCTTTCATGCCAGCATTTGGGAGGCAGGTGGATCTCTGAGTTTGAGGACAGCCTGGTCTACGGAGCAAGGTCTGGGCCAGCCAGGGCTACATAGTGAGACCCTGACTCAGAAAGCAAAACAGACCAGACAGATATTCAGGATGACAGAGGCCTGCTTTACTTGTCCATGTAGTCCCCGCCTCTAGGCTGGGAGGATGCTGGGAGGTGCTAACACCCCCCACCCCGAGATAATGGGAGGGGAGCGGTGTGGACTTGAGGATCTTAGTTCTGTCAAGTGCGCATGTGCTTGGGGTCTTCTCTGGGAATCGAGTTCTTCCCCTTCTCTCTAGATTCCTGCATGGTGTCTAGTGTGGAGACAGACAGACTGATGAACTGAGGGACAGTCAAGCTGACTGAATAATTGCACAAGTCCTGAGATCTTCTGTCGTTCTCTGTCCCACAGGTTAATGGAAACAGCGAAAGAGATGACCCGAGAATCCTTGCCTATCAAATGCCTTGAGGCAGTCATTTTGGGCATGTATCCTTTTTGCTTATGTGTGGTCACTTTTTGACCCCGTTCTGGAGCTAGTTGTGTCTTTGGTGTCCTTGGAGAAGAGTGTCAGGGCCCCTTGGTACTTCTCTCTATTTGACCTGGCTGGAGTTGAACAAGATCAGAGCTTGGCTCCTCGGGCCACGTTACCTGGGGAGCAGTCAGGGCCAGCTGTCACGCCGACGACTATCAGTTGAGCAGTCACAAGAAGAGCTGGGGTTCAGAAGGACTTCAGAGAGTGCATGTGTGGCTCTTTGATGCACTAACCTGACAACTGTTGTAAGAAAGACTTAAACGGAGTTGAGGCAAGGCCAACAGGGCGAATATCCAAACCCATCACCACGGGAAACGGGAGAGCAGGTTGCAGAGGAGCAAGCGCCCGCAGTGTGTCATGATGGAACCCGGTGGATGCGGGGTTTGGTCTCTCATGCCTTATCGTCTCCACCACATTCTTGGCTCTTTGCCTTGGCAGGAATTTGGTCCAGGAAAGCTAGGATGAGTGACTGATGGTGGTGGCAGCTGCACCCAGCCAGATAGAAGAGCAGAGAAACGCTGGGGTCGTTGGGGTCGTAGGCTGGGGGACGATGGCCAAGGGAGCAGAACAAGGTGTTGGGTTGAGAGTTGGCCCCAGATGAGAGCTGTTGGCTTCTTGAGTATGGTACAAGGTGGCTTTCAAAATAATCTGAAGCTAAAGAGTGACAAGGTCTCATGCCCCGGTTATTTCATTTAGAGTAGCTTCCGGAAAGACAGAACTGCGGAAGCAGCCGGGCTGGTTCTGCACAGCTCATTGTGAACGCCTACAGGAGGCCATGGTGATGCTTAGACCACGTCCTTGGCAGTGGGACTGGCTTGGGCTAGGTAGTTTCCAGAGCTTCCAGGAGATAGAGTGTACAGGACTTGGAAACCAGCCAGACATAGGAGCTGACAGGGAGTCAACTAATACAGGCTACCCATTAGACCACAGACGGAGAAGATGAGCTTTGAAGCGTCAAGAATGACATACGACGGCGCAGACCTGCACTTGGAAGGTTGAGGGAAGGGGCTGCAGGCGTTTGGGCTACAGCACTGTGGATCCCTCCATTTCTGTCTTGCACGACGAGGCCTCGGCCCAAGGGAAGGCCTTACGAGCAAGGCACCCACCGGGTTCAGGTGTGGACTGGCTGGGCTTGAAGCATGGAATCTGGGCTGTTCCGGATGGGACTTTTGGAGGGTTGTGCTTTTGGGGGTGGGTCAGTGCTGCAAACACAAATTGGGCCATGTGGATGTTGGGGAGACATTAGGAGGAGGGAAAAATGACCAAGGATGAAGCTCAAAATCCTTCTTATCTGGACAGACACACAGTACCAGTGGCAGAGCCATGACCAAAGCAGCTTGGGGAAAAAAGGGTTTATTTCTACTAATGCTTCTGGATCAGAGCCCGTCTCCGGGGGAAGTCAGGGCGGGAACCGTGGAGGAATGCTACTCAGTGGCTCTTCTCCTGGGTGAGCCTCAGTCTGCTTTCTTACCCAGCCCAGGTCCACCTGCCTCGGGATGGTACAACCCGTAGTGGACTGGGCCCCCACATCGGTCATCAAAGAAGTCACAGAGATGGCCGCAGGCCAGTCTAATGGCAGTGGCTCCTGAGTTGAGGCTCCCTCGTTCCAGGCGACTCTAATTGGGCCGGTGGACAATAAAAACTAAGCAAGGCAGAGACTTAAGGAAGCTCAGAGTAGGTTGAAAACCAGGAAAGGGGACAGGGGTCGGTGGAAGGTGTGCTTCAGAATTAGGTGGACAAGAGGATGGTCTAGTCTATTTGTTTGTACTCCCCCCCCCCACAGGGTTTCTCTGTGTAGTCCAGGCTGGCCTCGAACTCACAGAGACCCGCCTGCCTCTGCCTCCCGAGTGCCGGGATTAAAGGTGTGTGGCCACCGCTGCTGGGCTGCACAGCAAGCACTTAACAACCGAATCGTCTCTTCAACCCCTCTTGGACCTTTTCGTTTTGCTCTTGCTCTTTGAGGTGTGGAGCCCGAACTCAGTGTCTAGTACAGGCTAGCCCAGCACTTTACCCCAGCTAGACCTCTGACCCCAGATTTTCAGAGGGTCTTATGCTTTGTTCTGTGTATGCTTTGTGTGTGTATATATGGCTGGGTATTAAAGTCCGCCACTGCAGGTTTCCACAGGACAGTGAGCTTCTGTGCTTCTCTGCCACTTGCGGCAGTGTGACTGTCCGTCTGTGCCGTAGTTAGCATTTGGGAAGCGAGAACTGAGTCTTTCTGATGTGTCTCCCAGGTCTGCTCCCTGCTCCCCATATAAAGGGGCAACGCATGTTAGAGAGACCAGCAAGGAGGGCGGGCGGGGGCCAACAGCTATCTTGGGGCCCTGCTCTGGGCTGGCAGGACTTAGCCACAGTTGTAAGCAGAGCCTTTTGCTGGGAACCATGGGCTGGGGAGCTGCTGCTGGAGGCCAGCAGAGGACACCGGCCAGACCCTGGCAAGCTGCTCAGCTGCTTGCCCACCTGCTGAGTGTGCTGGGGTAGATAGGCCGCCCTGTCCTTTGCACATTGCCGTGTATCTGACGTCATTGTCCCCCCGGGCTACCCAGAAGCACTGGGGACTGTAGAGATCTAGGACCCCGCTGGGCCAGTACTCTTGCTTTTGCTTTGTTCTTACCTTTGTGAGAATGCAGAGGAGAGCAAGGCAGGCGGGGTGGGGGGTGGGGGGTGGGGGGGTGGGGGGGTGGGAGAGAGTGGGAGACTGCCTGTCATGCTGTTCCGGGGAAACCGGACTCTTGGCACAGACCTCCATCCAGAGTTACCGCAGTCCTGTCTTTGCTCTGTGTCAGCATTGCGGTGTCCTTGGGGTGGAAGAGTGATTCGGGTCATGGTCAGTGTCTCCCAGAGTTCCCCCACTGTCCTGGGAAACAAGGGTTCCTTGACAATTGGGAAGCTGGTAGGTTTGGCCGACTCCTGGTTACTTGTCCTTCTTTTCTATCTAGCGTGTGTATGGGTGAATGTGCGCGTGAAGGCAGGGGACAGTTTGGGTGTGGTTGCTCAGGCACCATCCGCTTTATTAATTAATTATTTATTTATTGAGGCAGGATCTCCCAGTGGCCCATCCACTTTATGTATCTATGTGTTTATCTATGTATCTATGTGTTTATGTATCTATCTATGTATCTATCTATGTATCTATATATCTACCTGTCTAGGCAGAATCTCCCAGTGGTCTATCTACTCTGTCTGTCTGTCTATCTGTCTATCTATCTACCTATTGAGGCAGGATCTCCCAGTGACCCAGAACTCACCAAGTAAGCTAAGCTGGCCGACCAGTGAGCCCCACAGATCTCTGTTTCTACTTCTCCCAGCCTGGGATTGCAAGCCTGGGTTCTGTGCATTGAACAAGGCCAGTGCTGTTCAGGCGAAGCTGTCTCCCCAGCCTGTGATTAAGTCTTCAGCCTGGCATTCAGGATCCGTCCCTGGACAGTCACTTTGTTCCCTGCTAACCAATGCGTGTCCTCACTTTTCCCGTGCATGCCAGACACAGGCATCTTAGGCTCCAAATTCTCCCCTGAGTTATGGCAGATTCCTTTGAGGCACAGCTACTGTGAGGAGCCTTGCTGGGAGGGTTGGGCTGCTAGGCTGGTCAAGGCCACAGGTGCACAGGGAGAGACATTCTCGGCATTAGGGGCGAAGCTAAAAGCTACTACTGCCACAAGCAGGCTGTGCTGGTTGGTTTGTTTAGTAGCGTGTTTCAGAGAGCACCTGTTTTGAGGCAGAGCCATACTGTGCATTCCAGGCTGGCCGAGGCTTTCCTCTCGCCAGAACTACAGGCCTGTGCCGCTGCGCTCCGTATCATTTTGTCTTTTTGGTGGTACTGCTTGAACCTGGGCCTCAAGCTTGCAAGGCAAGGCTTTCCCACTCACTGCAGCCCCTGCCCTATACCCGGCTCCCTGACACGCTGTGCTCCGTAAAAGTCACCTGAAGGGCTTCTGCCCTAGTCACTTCTCTGTTGCTGTGGAGACACTGTGACAAGGCAATTGATGGAAGAAAAGAGCATTTGGGCCTACAGAGGGTGAGTGGGAACGTGGCCACAGAAAGTCACTGGAATAGTAGTTGAGAGCTCACATTTTGAGACAAAAGCCTTGAGGCAGGGAGAGAGCTAACTGGGAATGGTGTGGGCTGTTGACTTCTCAAAGCCCACCCCCAGTGATACCTCTTCTGACAGGGCCACGCCTGCTAATCCTTCCTAGACAAACAGCTCTACCAACAGGGGACCAGCCATTCAAATAGTGAGCCTCTGAGGACTTTCTCCATCACACCCCCACGGCATCTAAGCGCTCAGCTCCTGATGGGGGCGCACATGTGTTCAGGACTATGGTTTTTCAGGACAGGGTTTCACTAAGCAGCCCTGGCTGGCCTCAAACTCTTAAAGGTGTGTAATGTACCACCGCATCTGGTGCCTGTGTGCATTTATTGTGACTTCAGGACGTCTCCTTCAGAAATGTCCAGGCCTCCTGATGGTCAGACAAGGACACTGAGATGACACAGAATGCCAGTGATCAGGGGCCAAGCCACATTAGGACTTTGTTCAGGGATCTAGGCAGTCCTAAGCACTGAGATGAGGGAATCTGAGGTGGAACACTGAGGTTTGCCCAGTTTGGGCTGAGATATGTCGTTCAAGCCACCCAGGAAATCAAGTTGTCAGGAAACACGAGATTAAAGCAGATTCTTTTAAGAAAGATTTATTTGGAGGACAACTTGTAGGAGTCAGGATTTTTATCATACTGCATTCTGGGAATGAAACTCAGGTCATCTGGCTCAGTGGCATGTACCTTTACGATTGAGTCGTCTCAACTGTCTGTGCAGAAGGAGAGCTGTGCCTACACCCCCCGCACTCACCGTCACACAGTGCCGTGTCAACATTTACCTTAGAAGCAGTCAGGTCCCCTGCACATCCTATCAGGAATGACCAAAAGTTTCTAGAAAACTTGGGTAAAGCGCCGAGAGATCTCACCAGGAATGGTGTGGAATTTCTAGAGGGGCTTGGATGTGGCTGCGTCTCGCTCAGCCATCCAGGGCCTGGAGTAGGGTGTTAATTCAAGCTGCTCCTTTTCCATTATGGGTCAAGACCAACGTTGTAGTGGCTGGGGAGGCAGCTCTGTTGGTAACGTGCTCACCTTGCAAGCACAAGGACCTGAGCTTGCTCACCTGGGACCAATGTGAAAAACAAACCCACACCAGGTACTGAGGCTTGTACTTGTAATCCCAGCTCTGGAGAGGTGGAGGCAGGAGGATCCCTGGGTCTCACTGGACAAACAGCTTACCTTAATGATTGAGTTCCAGGACAAGAGATACTGTCTCAAAAAGTAAGCACAGCCTGGAATTGGTGGCGCACGCCTTTAATTCCAGCACTCGGGAGGCAGAGGCAGGTAGATCTCTGTGAGTTCGAGGCCAGCCTAGTAGTGCCAGGACAGGCTCCAAAGCTACACAAACCCTGTCTCAAAAAAACAAACCAAACAAACAAAAAAGGTAAGCACAGCAGAGAAACACTAAGGGGGACCTCTGACCTCTACCCTTATGTGCATACACCACACCACATCACACATACACACACACACACCTAAAGTCATGGTAATAGGCTGTTACTAAATCAGGTCAGGCCAGTGTGTGCCTTGTGAGCTGGGGACTGAGGGTAAACGTTTTCTACATGCTAGTCCAGGCTGCAGGCACAGGTGTGCCAGATGTGATGAGAGTGAGTGACTCAAAAATGTGACTCCTGTCTCCTCTCTGTCCCTCACCCTCCAGTCACCAGCCTTGGCCTTACATTGTCTCTGGGATCCCTGGTTTCCTTTCTTGCCTGAACCACCACGGGGGCCCTCAGAGCCTGCTCAACACAGCAGTGAGAACACATTCTGATCGTGTGTGTTTGGTTGGTTGGTCTTTTGAGACAGGGTTTCTCTTTGCAACCCTGGCTGTTCTGGAACTCTGTAGACAAGGCTGGCCTTGAACTCAGAGATCCGCCTGCTTCTGCCTCCCAAGTGCTGGGACTAAAGGTGTGTGTAACCACTGCAGGATCTGATTGTGTTCGAAAACACAGTTGGCTGGGGAAATTGCTGCATAAGCACGGAGACCCGAGTTCAGATCCCGAGTCCACATGAGAACTCAGTGTGGTGGTGCATGTCTGTAGCCCAGCACTGTAAATCCTAGACAGAAGAATCTTGGGATTTGCTGGCCAGCCAGTCTATTGAAATGGTGAGCTTTAGGTTTAGTGAGAAAATTCTATCTCCAAAACTGAGGAAAGACATCCCAGGGTGGAGCTCTGGCCTTAACTTGTGCCCTCGTGGTTAAGATACCTGTATTCACATGTACACACGCACGCACACACACCTGCAAATAAAAGCACCTACAAATAAGTAAACAAAAACACCTTCAATTGCTCCAAGTGCCTATAGCAAGCCAGGCAAGGAAAGGAGGCCTGGTTATTTTGTTTTGCATTTAACTAGTGAAGATGGCAGTTTTCCCCTCCATCCCATATTTGGTTTGGGTATGCACCACAGAGTCAATACTTGAAGATGCCCAGAAAATCCCTTGCAGAGGATTCTGCTGGAAAGATTAGATACTGAGACGCTGGAGACGGGGATGGACTCACTGGCCCCAGGAGTGGTATCGTATTCTGGGAAGCCACGTTCTCTGACTTGCTTCTGTGTCTTCCTTGACGTCGCCGTCTTAAGATACTTAACCAACGGGCAGCCTTCCATCGAGCGGTTCCCCATCAGCTTTAAAACCTGTTTCTCAGGAAACTACTTTCACCACGTCGTGCTGGGGATCTATTGCAACGGTTTCTACGGCTCGCTGGGCATGAGCCGAAGGGCCGAGCTGATGGACAAGCCACTGACGTTTCGGACTCTGAGTGACCTTGTCTTCGACTTTGAAGACTCCTACAAGAAATACCTGCACACAGTCAAGAAGGTCAAGATTGGGCTGTACGTCCCCCATGAGCCTCACAGCTTCCAGCCCATCGAGTGGAAGCAGCTGGTCCTCAATGTCTCAAAGATGCTGAGGCCCGACATAAGGAAGGAGCTGGAGAAGTACGCCAGGGACATGCGGATGAAGGTGAGTGCTGGGACGGGTGCAGGGTGTGCCGGGGCTTCCTTCCCATCTGTATCCGTTATTTTACACATAGGACACATGATCTGACTCCAAAACATGGACAGGGAAGGAGAATTGGTTTTAGTCCACAGTTCAAGGACACCCTCCGTCACGGGGAGCAACAGAGGCGAGGGTGTGCCCGTGGGGCTCGGCTCCCTTTCTCCTCTTCATTCAGCTTGGCTTCAGCCCGTGGAATGGTGCTGTCCACATCAGTGTGCGCCTGCCGCCTCAATTCTCCAGCCTAGAAACCTCCCCAGACACAAAGAGCCACTCCCCCGGGGGGGGGGTTCTTAAATCCCATCAAACCGAGAATCAAGACCTAACAACCACATTCTCTCTTGCTTTTTCCAAATGGCAGGAAGCTTTCCTTGCTTAGTGGCCACTATGTATAAGCAAACCCTCTGCACCCTCGTTTGATTGGACAGGTGGTCTTTTTTGCATGTGGCATGGCCTGTCCTTGGTGCCTGTGCTGAGCGTGGGTACATGGTACTCAGTATCCATTCTTTACTGCCAGCTCACCCCGTAGTGACAGCATGCCCGCTTGTCCCTGTCCCTCCAGGGCCTGTAGTCACTAAGAGAAAGTGGCTGTCGTGACTCGGGCTTGCTTATCTTCAGTCTTCAGAGCTGGAGTGGTGGTATTGGTGAACTGAAGCCCGTTCTATGCCTCAGTGTGGGAAGGAGGGCAGTGGAAGTTGGTTTCTAGGTGCTGCAGGGAAGATGTTGCCATCCAGGGAGAGAAACTTCTAAGCACGCAGATCCAGGAGGCTGGGGGGCTGGGCTTGGTTCCCTCCTTCCACAGAGAAGGGAGTGACGTGATGTCCCATCTCACCCTCCAGGAAGGGGTACCCTTATCTTTCTCCAGTGTGGAATGTGAGGAACGTGTATCCTGGATAGGCGAGGGTTGGGGTGCTGGGCTGTGGGGAGTTGAGAGGTGGCAGTCCTTAGGATTCAGCGAGGCTAACTCCTTCTGTTTCTCTCAGATCTTGAAACCTGCAAGTGCCCACTCTCCAACCCAAGTGAGAAGCCGGGGAAAATCTCTGTCTCCCCGAAGGAGGCAAGGAAGTCCCTCAAGGAGGCTCGGCAGGCGAGACAAATCGTGAGTGCTGTTTTCTCTTCCCTAACCCACATTTGCAGGGGTGTCCTGGCCCATGTGGGTAAGCTGAGTCCCCTCTGAGAGGACTGCTCCTATTCAGAGGTCATGCACGCACGGCATGGTGCACACCACCCCCAGGGCTGCGGTCAGCTGAAGATGAGTTGAACTTATAGATGGAGGGAGAGCCAGGAAGGCCTGAGGGGAAGAACACTGGAAAACAGAACCAGGGAGCTTGGGTCTGGCATCGGCTTAGCTACTTAGGAGCCCTGTCACCAGGGTGCTTCTTGTGACTCTCTTGGGTGTTGAGTTTGAGGCTGTCAATTTCATAGACCTGCATTCCTCTGTGCCCAGTAGGATGTGGTCACTGTGAGCCCCATGCTCTTCTTCCTCCTCCTCCTCCTCCTCCTCGGCTAACTACCCTAGGCTGGCGATGTCGTAGCTCTTCCTTAGGTCAGAATGACTCACACGAGTCATGCCAGTTGAGTACTGAGTGTCCCCAGAGTAACCAGTGATGTCCTGCTTGCTAGAGAGTCCTCGGGCCGTATCACACTGAAAACTTACTGTCTGCTAAAATAATGGCAGTGGGCTGTCACCGCTGCCTCTTACAAACTGGGTTCTGGGTTAGGAGTCTTAGTTGAGTGCCTGCTCAGCCACATGATAGCCACGTAGCCAAGCAGACCCTGGTCCTGAGGGGAGCCATGGTTTGCATTTGTAAGAGGCTAAGAAGGTTTCCAGTTAGGTCCCATGTGGGTGTGGCTTGTTCCTGGTAAACTGCTTTCACAAAAGCATGTTCTGATTGGCAGGTTCATCCCATAGGCTATGCAGGGAGTGTTCTGCACGGTTCACTTCTGGGTGAAGAAAGCAGAACATGAAAGGAGCGTATTGCCTTGGTCCTAAGTCCTGCAGCTGGTCAGTAAGGGAGCCACACGACTCCCTGGACTCTAAGGAAGTGGCAGGGAGATGGGGTAGCTCTGCTTGAGAGTGACCGGACAGGACGGAGTGTCTTCAGTCCCAGAGAAGGTTCTTGTTCTTCGCTGCATGCCCACTGCAGCCCAGGGTTAGCATGGGCAGCTAGCAGAGACTTGCTGAAGTGACAGGCGTCTAGGCCTGGGACGAGAGTCTAGTGCTTCTGCAGCAAGAGAGGCTGATGTCACCGGTGCTCCAGCAGAGGGTCCATTCTTCCAGAGCCAGACCTGTGGCCTCCTGATGACCTAGTGTGCCCTCAATGCTACCTGAGACCTTGACAGCCCTCACCATGACACCTGTGACCTTGACACACCCTCACCACGTCACCTGTGACCTTGACACACCCTCACCATGTCACCTTGACACACCCTCACCATGATACCTGTGACCCTGACACACCCCCACCATGACCCTTGTGACCTCGACACACCCCACCATGACCCCTGTGACCTTGACATGCCCCCACCATGACCCTTGTGACCTTGACACACCCCACCATGACCCCTGTGACCTTGACACCCCACCATGGCCCCTGTGACCTTGACACACCCTCACCATGACACCCGTGACCTTGACACACCCACCATGACACCCGTGACTTTGACACACCCCCACCACGACCCCTGTGACCCTGACACACCCTCACCATGACCCCTGTGACCTTGACACACCCTCACGGAGCCCAAGCTTTTTCTCTCTGACTCCAGCATTCATTCCCGCTGCACGGCACTCTCAGCACTGAGCAGAGAAACCCTTCCCGAGGGGTCAGTGACATGGGCCCAGCAGCAGGAGGGAAAGCCTGTCATCTGGTCTATTGTCCTGTCTGCCCTTGAAGGAAGCAGTCATTCATCCCTTTGAAGCTCCCATGAGCAGCAGGGGTTGAGCTGGCCACAGGGAGTGCTCTTCCCTTTGGAGCTGGGACCAGCACATGGGAAAAGCGCCTCCTGCTGGGACAATGTGTCTCTGCACAGAAGGGCCACCATTGGCAGGCCAGCATTTCTGGGTCAATGTTTCTGATACCATTGTTGCACCTGAACCCACAGGAACTCAGTGTAGACAGTGGTGTGGGACGTTTCTGACTAAGAAACTAATAGAGTAAACGCCAGGGGCATTCGGGATGAGGTCAGAGGTCGGTCTGACGGTGACCGTTTGGTGTAGAGGACACAGGCAAGTGACTGTGGGCTCTGAGGTGCTTCTCAGGCTTCTAGGGCGAATGTTCTAGAAAATACTATTAATAGGGTTTGAGGACAGATTTAAAATTGGAGGCATCTAGCCAGGCAGTGGTGGCATGCACGCGCCTTTAACCCCAGCACTTGGGAGACAGAGGCAGAGGGGGAAGTTTGAGGCCAGCCTGGTCTACAGAGATAGTTCCTGGATAGCCAGGGCTACACAGAGAAACCCCGCCTCGAAAAACAAAACCAAAATTGGAGGCATCAGCACAGAAGTGACAGCTCAAACAGTGGCTCGTAGGTGGGCAAAGAGAGGGAGGAGTGGGTAGCTCTGGGGGGGGGCAGAGGAAGAAGAAGGGCACCGGGCATGAGGAAGGGGTGGCTCGGGGGACAGTCTGGCTCAGGAGCGTGCTGCTGCCCTTGTCACCCTCCCTCCCTGTCCTACCCTGGGGACCCTCTGGCTCTTCTCCCGTCCACCTGGTGCATCACAATGGGCCCAGGAGTGAGGAGAAAGAAAAGGGGTGGGGCAGGTAGTGGGCCCCAGTCAGGAAGGGTGGTCTCCAGGAAGAGGGGGTCCTCTCGTCACCCCCTCTCTCATACCCCCATGGCTCAATTCAACCCCACTGCTGGGAGCTCCAGGGGAACCAAGTGGCAGAAGTGTCACGGCCCAGTGGCAGAAGTGTCAACTCAGAAACAGCGTGGGTAGTGACGTTCGGGGAGGAGCAGACCCTGAGGAAGTTACGGGGTGCAGTGTGATGGGGCTGGGCCCACGAAAGGGAGAGTAGTGGAGGGGGGGGAGGGGAGGGGAGCCCACAGATCGAGCCCTGGGCTGAGATTTAGCACAGTGAGCCAACGTGTGGTTTGGGCCCCTTTCCTTACCTGTGACGAGGACAGGGGAGTTAGCACGCATTCTTTGACGTAGTTTGTGGAATATAGTGCTCCCTCCGGGTTTCACCTTGCAGAATTGAAGGCAAGGTGGGAATTGGATACAAGGTGGGAATAACCAGAAGGAAGAGGTGAAGGTTCAAAAATAAAGTGATGAGTTCAGGAAGCAGGGCTTTGGGGGAGCCAGGGTCAGAGCGATGGGATGTGACAGTGAGGACTTAGGGGTAGGGAGGGTCTGGATGAACAAGTAGAGGCTGATGGCTTGTGCCTCTGCTGGCCTTGTGCTGGGGCAAGGGAGCCGTGCTGTCTGGTGAGGGAAGAAGCCATGGGCACAGATTGGGCAGAGCCCAGGCTAAGGACCTCACTAATAAAAGGGATACTGGTTTTCAGAGGGACCTTGTTCCAAACCAGAATTGGGGGACCACTCTCCCCTGGAGTCTCTGAACCAGCAGCTTTGGGACAGACATCTGAGTTTTCATTTCTGACAAGCACTCAGTTCAGTTGCTGCTGGTTGGGGGGGTGAAGGGGCCGTCCCAGAGCTGTTCCCTGGCAGATACTTCTGCCTGTGCTTAGTAAACCAAGGCAAAGGGCTTACATCAGCAACCCACGCACCAAGACAAGTGTTCAAGTCCAGTCACTGGCGTACACCCCGGGCTTGTCCAGGGCTGGTGGGTCACCAGCGTATGCCTGGAATGATGGCAAGCCTAACTTAGCTGGCCTCACACTCAGGCCTCACTTAACCCAGTCTTGGGGTGTCCACTGATTTGCCCTGACTTCTGTTGCTCCAGGCCCTAATTTCTACTACTTTGTCATGCAGCCAAGGCAAGTGGCCACGCTGGCGCCTTCACGTGCCCCCGAGGAAGACAGCTGTTAGTCAGCTATGGCTGTGAGTGTGACGCTACTGGGTGCCAAGGCCCCACTGTCCCTGCCCCTCCTGACACACTAGAGGGGCCTGGGAATAGAAAGACCAGGAGGGACTGAGTCCCCAGGTGTTTCCTGTCATCGTCCTACCACTGCCCCCCAAGGCCTACCTCAGCCCCTGGGAGGCAGCTACAGGCCAGGATATTGTAAACTTCTCAAGGAAAGGTGGGGTGGCCATGCCCAGCTCCCAGGCCCCCAGCTCCATCCCCATGGCCTTCCTATCCCCAGGCTGAGCAGGTCTCCAGGATCCCTCCATGAACTCTTTCCAGTGGGTCAGGGTTGGGAGGGATCTACACCTAGGCCAGGTAGCCTTGGAACAGCATGGTCATCAAGGGCCCCACAGTCTGCAGTCTGTGTGCCTGAGAACAGTTTCACAGGCATGGGTCTCATAAGGGCACGGCTCCTCTCTGCATCAGAGACCCTGGCCGCTTGGTTCTCTGTCTGAACTTGGAGGTGGGGAGGAGCCTCGAAAGGGCAGCCATGGAGGCTTCTGTTTAAAGTGGACTGAGGTGGGCAAGGAGGGAGAGCCTGTCCCCAGCTCCTGAAACGCTGAGTCCGAGGGGCGGGAGTGGGGAAGGGCTGGTGCAGCGGTGAGGAGAGGGCAGGGGAGACTTCAGAGAGAGGACCACAGGAGACATGGGAGCTCCGAGCCCACCCTCCCTCCGCTAGACCAGCACCCTTGACTTTCAGACCTGTGTCCACAAGGAATCTTCTCTCCTGCCCATAGCTAACCAGCAGGTTGGTCCAGCTAGCTGATCTTGCTCTTTAAAGGGGGTACGTTTGACCATGCCCCAGTGACTTCACAGACTCCGGCCGGGCTCTCACTGAGCTGGTCAGCACCAGGAAGGGTTCTTGGGGACCACCTGCCATGCTGTTATTTCAGCTTTACCTGGGGCTGGCTGTCACCTCTAAGTACAGATGCTCCAAGTGGAAAGTACCCACACTGGGCGTAAGGCCCGTCAGCGGGGGCCCATGGGTAGTTTTGGTGGCTTATGTCACTCCCTCTCTCCCAGCTAGAGTCACTTCCAGCTCTGTTCCCCTTTGTCTCTGCACTTGAATGAGTAATCCCTGTAGGAGTGTCTGTGCCACTGGGTTGACACAAGAGTCCCCTGAGTGGGAGGGCAAGCGACTTCACCAGCCTCAATTAAGATCAAGTTTCTAAAGGGAGACAGCACCCCCGCCCCCTGCAGCGGGTTCTTCCTCTCTGAGTGTTTTGGTCTTCTTCTCATTACATTACTCATTTGTCAGAACATGCGAAGGGGCAGAGGACAGCTTCTGGGCTCTTCCCTTCTGCCGTGTGGGCCATCAGGCTTGGTGACACGTGTCTTTACCTACTGAGCCATCTTGCTGGTCTTCCCCTCCAAATGTTGGAAGCACCTTCTACATAAAACAGTCAAGTTTCTTTCCCTCTCAACTCCACCCCCAGGAGTTCTTAAAGAGAACTGGGGGTAAAAACTCAGGTCTGTGTTTCAAAGCCCTTGTCAACTAACAACAACCCCTTCCCAACTCTGGGACTCGGTCCCCTCAGGCTCTTTTCTGAGGGATGCCCACAGTGAGTTGTGGGTGGGGTCAACTCAAAAAGAGCAGGTTAGAGGAGCCAGGGGACCCTTATGTGGTGATGCATCAGCTGTTCCAAGTACTTGAGAAGCGGGAGCCAGGAAGATCACTCGCATCCTCAAGTTCAAGGCCAGCCTAGACTATATCTCCAGACAATCACTAGGAAAGAAAGAGGGCTGGAGATGTGGTTGAATGTTTGTTGCACAGGAATGAGGTCCTGAGTTAAGATCCCTAATACTGAAGTAAAAATAAAAATAGAGGAGAAGCAATTGAGGAACACACCAGGTCAGCGGCTGACCTCCACACACAATGCACACACTTGGACACATACCTACACACACACACGCACACGCACACACACACACACACACATACTCACACACACACATACTCACACACACGCACACACTCACACACACATACTCACACACAAACACACGCACACACACACATACTCACACACACACACGCACACACACACTCACACACACACATACTCACACACACACGCACACACACACACATACTCACACACACACACATACACACACACATACACACACACACACACACACACACACACACACACACACACACCCTACAGGGGGAAAAAGAGGAAGAAAGGGAAGAGCACTTCTTCACTGAGGTCGGCTTCCCCAAGGACCAGAGCAAACCTGTTTCTCTCCCCTTGTCACTCCTCTTTGCCTTTCTTGTGTTTTCCTGCCATGTTTCTTTTCTCCCCTTTCTCTTTCTTGAGCAACGTTCTTCCTTTTAGCTATGAACCTATGAGGGGTTCCATGGTGGGTTCCGAAGGCCATTCTTCGAGGCCTGTAGGCAGTGGTTCTGTTTAAAGCAGCCAGTCCCTAGGGCATGACTGGACCGAAAGAAGTCATTGCCCTGAAGGTTGGGCTTGTGGGTCGGTTGAGTGAGGTCTGCACACATGCATTTCCATTTCTACTGTGCTTATCAATGCCAGTGTCCCAGGAATCAGAAGAAAAGACACAAATGTGGTGTGGACCCTTGCAACACAGGCGACTAAGAGACAAGTTCTTTAGTGAGGTCATGTAGCAAGTCGGAGGATTTCTTGACCACTGTGAAGTTGTTCCAGAGAGAAAGATCACAGGTCAAGATGTCAGAATATCTTAGCAGCTACTTGAGAGGCTGAGACAGGAGGATTCCAAGTTGTTCAAGGTCTGCCTGCTAACTCGTGGAAACTTCGTCTCAAACATAAAGTAAAAAGGGAGGTGGGGTATGTTCAGTGGTGGTTTGCCTGACAGGAGAGTGGTCTAGGATGGTCAAGGCCTTCTCGGGCAAAGACAAAGGCTGCCTAGCTGATGAGCCTGCTGCTCACTCTTAGTGAGCTGCACTAATTTCCTGTCAAGAGGGAATGACTTGCTATAAGGAGATATTTCAAAGGTTTAAGGGCTTTGTTACACTTGAATTTTCACTTTTTAGCACTTAAGGTCAAGGTTCGACTGTCACCTTTGTCACCTCTTTGATGCTCTTAGGGAAACAGAGAAACCCTGAAGGACTCACCAGCATCCTAAATCCCACTTACAGTCTTGGTCACGTCGACCCAAGGTCACAGGGGGCTCATCAGAAAGTGGAAGCTGTCAGAATGCTTACAGTGTCATCCTGGAAAGTCGCCAGTGTCTTAACGCTAGTGTTCAGGAGTTTTAGTGCCAAGTGCTTTAGGAGTTTCTTACTTAGCAAAGAAGCTTTGCCACTGAGTGACTTTGTGCCTTGGCATGTAGTTTCAGAATTCCAAGAGATAAACCTTGTATTTTTATTTTTTTAAAGAAGCAGTCTCTCTGTGTAGCTCTGGCTGTCCTGGAACTTATTCTGTAGACCAGGCTGGCCTTAAACTCAGAGATCTGCCTGCCTCTGTCTCCCAAGGGCTGGGACTAAAGGCGTTTGCCAACATGGTGGCGACACACCTTGATTTTACACATTCAAGCCTAGAGTAGATGCATCTCCCAAGGGTAACTGAGAATGTCCACCAGAACCAAAGTCCCTTTGTGACTCCTGGGCTCTCTGTTGCCAAAGATTTTGGCTTAGTCCTGTAGTAGTGTGTGACTTTGTCAGGACCTTTGAGGTACGGGTTTCAAAAGTTGTAGCTCTGAGCATGGTGCTGTAATCTATAACCCTAGGACATGGAAGACTGGTAGGAGGATGGAAAGTTCAGGGCTACCCTGGGAAATGTAGTGAAAACCTGTCTCAAAAAAGTAAAGCCTGCTTAATTTTGCCATGCTTATTTGCAAGATTTTTTTTAAAAAATCAGCTTTAATTTTTAAAAAGTTAATGTGATTAAATTCAAGTTTAAAAGGCTCATTTGATGCCAGAAATTTTTAAAGATTTCTTCACCGGAAGCCTTTAGAAGGCCTTAAAACCTCCTAAAGTAGATGAAGAGTTGGAGCCGAGGCTGTCGAGTGGGTGTGAATACAGGTGAGTATCAGGCCCTTGGAAGGCTTCATTCCTGTCTGTCGGTCTGTCTCCACCGTCCTTCTGCCTCTATCCTTAGGCCTGCTCTACCTGAGAAGAAGGTGGCTGACCTCAGCACTCTGAACGAAGTGGGCTATCAGATCCGGATCTAGCCATGCCAGGCTGGCAAGGCTTCTATGGTGCTCTTTTCTGCACGGTACCCAGCAGCTTCAGGAGGACCTGCTACTATTCATGAAGAACCTTTGGAGTTTTGATTTTGAAGGACTTAACCTGCAAACAGAATCTGAGTGGGTGGAAATGGTGAGCTTTGAAAGACTGGCTGGGCAGCAGGCATGGGGGGCTGAAGTGATGGACAGGCCCCTGGGTTGACTGTCTCCCTCACTCAGGATCTCAAGGACAACACTGTAGTTTTCTATTTCTCCGTTTGCCGACTGTTCCGCTTGCTTTGGATGTTATGCCTCAGCTGTAGTAAACTTCTGGAGTTTGCTCCCTCTCTGTAACTCAGTCAGTGTTACCGTCTTCTCAGCAATAACAAGCAAAGATGGTGGGCTTTTTTAAGAGTTGATAATACCTCAACATTTTGGCATCAGATATGCAATCTTAATGAGTTTTTTATATTCTATTTGTATTGTTTTCCTAGTGTTTCTTATAGAGATCTTGATGGTTTGGTTGTTGTTTTGTTTTTTATTTTTTCTGGTGCACATGAAAGATGAGATTTAAGGTGCCATATGCAAATGTTTTAGCAAAAGGCACTGGGATTCTGGCAATAAGGGGCAACACTTTAGGATCTTGGAGTCACTTTTCCTAAAGCCCCTGCTCATAGCAGGCCTCTTCTTTGAAAATAAACATGCTGAGAGCTCTAGTCCATGTTCTGCTGCTAACATGTAAGGTTTTCCAAATTCAGCGAAAAGCACAAGAGGCCACACACTCATGAAAACCCAGCAGCACCGAGACGTCCTCCGGCAGAAAGCTGCTCAAAAAGGCAGACACTGGGAGGTGACCTGTGTGCCCCCTGGGTCAGCCTTAGTTCTGAGGGGCTCACCGTTGTTCACGTGTTCTGCCATTTTACACTTAGGCACGTGCAATGGACTGTTTGCCAGTGGCTCGTTTTTCAGGCACCGCTTCATGGCATTAGGAAGTGCTGGGAGGAGCCCTGAACTCAAGAAGCAGGCTGTCTTCAGAGAAAAGATCCAGCAGGGTGCTGTGCCTCCCACCCTGAAGTGGAGCAAGGCTGCCTGTGGCCAGCGCAGGGCAACTCCGGCTTGCAGGCCACCAGGTTGGGTCTGAAGGCGTGCAAGAGAGCTATTGCTCTGGAGGACAGCTTTACGTCATTTATCTCCGTGCAGCCGCCATACCTGAGGACCAGCTTGTCCACAGAGCTTTTAAAAAGCTTGTGCCTCTCTGGCTGTGATTGAGGGGTTAAGAGGCCCTGCTAACTGATCACTCACTTGAGTCTTCACGAGGTAGTCCTAGGGCCAGCAGGGAGGCAAAAGCTATGGGCACAAAAACTCACTGCACCCTAAAGGCAGCATTACTAATGAAAAGTATTGTTTTCTTGGAAAAATTTAGTGTCCTTTAGAGAACAGGACCAGGAAACTAAAACACCGTGAAAGTTTCCAATTCTGAACTTAAGGCTTTCTTCAAGAATCCTGTTCTCAGAGTTCCAGATGAGTTCAAGGGCCTGGGCCAAGTGCTGGAAGGCTGTACTCTGACAAGGCGTAAGGAAACACCCTCCATGCGCCCTCACAGGCTGTCCATTCGCAGCCTCAAGGCCGTGTGTACGAGTGTCCCGAAGAGCCTGGGAGAGCTTCCACTCCTGCTCAGCTGTTTACCCCCCGAAACAGCTCCATCTGGTATGCGGACTGATCAGAGTTGGGGCACCAGGCCAAGTGCCTGCAGCTGCCTTGTTCAAGGACAGATTACACGAAAAGAATGTCAGTGGGACAACCTTGATCCATGGCAAGCTGTCCCTGAGTGTGACACTGTCATCTAATCTTTTCCACAACCACTTCTGGTTTTTAGATTCATTTTTCAAAGCAAGGCTAATCACAGAAACATTTAAAATGCTCTGTCATTCGATTTACTGCCTGTAGTTACACTAACTTCTAAAAATAGAAGGGAGTCACAAAACATCGAAATTCTAATGTGAGTTTAATTAAATAACATGGCAAAAATGAACGCAGCGTGTGTTACCTCTCCTCAGCCTGTGATTTAAGATGGAGAAAAGAAAGAGGTGACTGGAGCAGGGTTGTCCTATGCACAGTGCGGATGTGCAGAGCAGAAGGCAGTCTCAAGCCGACTCACGGCTGACTTGAGAGGTGTGACTCCCGGGGCTTTCTCTGTGCTGGAATCACGAGCACATATACATATCCCTTTTCTTGAGTCAGCGGTTTCAAAGGGTGTCCTCACAGACACGGGTAAAGGCCTTCTAACCCTTCAGCTTACTCTACAAGGTTTTCGTATGCTAGACTTTTATGTACAACCTTGTACAGTTTTGACATACAGTTCAGATTCTTTTTTATTCTCTTAGACTTTGTTCTAGCCGATACATTTTTAATGATGTTTCAGAAGAGCCGTGATTGTTTTAGTGAGTATTTTTCTAAGTACATGAAGACTTGATAGTACTCTGGAGGACGCCAGGAGTGCATGTTTCAGGCCTGTGTTTCTCTCATCGCGTGTTGTACACAGCATGGACTGTAATAAAAACCATTGGAAACTGAAGGGCTTTGAGGAGTTTTGTTGCTGCTTGTCCTATGGAGTTAACTGTTTCTCCCTTTCCTCTTCCAGGCGTTGTTGAACGTTACTCTGTTTGGGTGTGTTTCACTTGCCTCTGACCTTCATCCTTACTGACAGAGGCTGCAAAGGTAATGGGACAGTTCAGGGGTGACTTCTGAGCTTCTACTGCTCAGCATGTTTACCAAAAAGCCCGACACAGATGTGCAAATATAATTTATTACAGCTTACAAGTACAAAGTATAAAAGACTCGATGCTTTATAACTTTTTTTAAACAAGGATTAAAAGCTAGCAGATGCTAAATCCTGAAAGACAAGGTTTTGAGCATGCCTATTGTCCTAATGGCAAAGGGTGCAGCAAAAAGTAGACTATATCATTACTCTGCAGTTTCCCTTCGCATCTAAGACTTGGCCAGCAGGAGGCTGGGCCGATGGCTCAGTTAGAGGAGGAGCTGAGTGTGAGCCCCAGCACTCACATGAGAAGCCAGGTATCCACATGTAATCCCACATGAGAAGCCAGGTATCCACATGCAATCCCACATGAGAAGCCAGGTATCCACATGTAATCCCATATGAAGGTGAGTCTCGGCCTCGCTGGCCAGCTTACCCACTTTGGTATGTTCCAGGCTGGTGAGAGACCCTGTCTTAAAAATAAAAGGTGGATGGCTCCTGAGAAACAACACCCAGGGCTTACCTCTGGCTTCTAGACAGACAGACAGACAGACAGACACACACACACACACACACACACACACACACACTACACTTCAGACTGTGAGATCCGACTTTTGCAGTCAGCCAAATCAGATTGTGCTTGAAAGGTAAACACAGGACCCAGGGCCCAGAGGAGCTGCCAGCCCTTCTGTCAATAACGGCAGGGAAAATAGGTCATTTTTACTGGAGCTTTAAAAGCTTGTGAAAAGTGTCTGTGATCACAGATTAACACTGATAAGCTAACAGCAATTTATGGGTTAACTGTATCAAAGTGAAGTACATGAAATGGGCCTAAACTCGTAATATATTCATCAGGATATAAAAACTTTCACAGAGATTTTCAGGAATGTTAGCTTGCTTTCACTCAAACCTCCCCCCCAATATTAAAAAGGGACAGTTACCACCGTAATTCTCAGGACCCTTAGCACTCCACAAAGCACCACTGAAAACTGGGCATCGAGGCATTGTGGTCACTGCTGTCCTTGAAAACCAGCGAGAACCTGTGTTCTCTGAAGTACTCACGGTACATGCCGTTGCATCTACACCTCTAAGACAGTCATCTAGAAGACCTACAATAACTGTCATCAGTGAGTTACAATTTAAATTGCCAAGACTTACTGTCTAATTTAAAACTCTATTAATGAAACTCACAGTAGAAAACATAATTGACTGCATGGTAAGGACTTAGTAAAAATGCCTGTAATCTGATTCTACTTTCTTAGAAAGCAGAGGGGAGCTCTACTTACATTTATGTCTTTTACTCGACACTTGTACAGGGCTTATCAGACCTGCTGTGAGGGTTCATGGACAGTGTAAGCCATGCCACACGGCTGCACCACTGCACCAGAATGCTCAACACTGCAGCCAACAGTTAGCTGGCTGTGGCGTGCGGGGCTCCTGGGCACAAGCCGGGCCACTCTACACTCTGGCTTCTGCACTGGGGACAAAGGACAAAGAGCTGTAGAGCTATTGCTTCCTTCCAAAGACCGTTCCTTATACTTATACAAAATGTCACTCCTGACCCCAGGACCTTCTACTGTCATTAAACACAAAGGGAAACTCAGGAGGACAGAGTACAAGCCAGAGTCTGCCATCTTTTTGTCTGTCTCTGTGACAGGGTCTTGCTGTGTAGCCCTGCCTAGCCTGGACATGCAGTGGTCCTCCTGTCTGTCTCCCATATACAGGCAACATGGACGTGCATGGCATTTCTTTCCTTGGGGTCACCCAGTACAGGACAGGAGTGGGCTTATATAAAGGCCTCTGACTCTTTTTTGCATGTGTTTTCAAGACAGGGTTTCACTGTGAAGCCCTGGCTGTTCTGGAACTCTGTAGACCAGGTTGGCCTCAAACTCAGAGATTCGCCTGCCTCTGCCTCCTAAGTGCTGGAACTATAAAAGCACGGGCCATCACCAAATGGCTTTTGTTATCTTTTTAAGACCTGGTTCCATGTAGCCCAGGTGGCCTCGAACTTTCTAAGCTGCTAAAGTTGACTTTAAATGGCTCATCCTGCCTCCACCTCCCAAACACTAAGGTTACAGGCTGAGAGCCCTGCCCTCTTCTGAGGGACCTAACACAATGTAGGCGTGCCCACAGCTCAGGATGGCAGTGAAGTGGGTCAGTGTGCCCCACAACTCCAGAGCGTCATCGAGCCTGTCAGAAGCTAACTGGGTTGGACACTTGAGGATGAACGGCCCAGTGACATCTAAGAGCTGATGAGCTCTCAACAAGCACAGGGCTTTCCCAGTGAAATTCGGCCTCCAGAAAAGGCAACAACCTGAGCTTTGCAAGTCCTGACAGGTCCACCGGAAAGCACTAGATTCATCTGGAGGGCCAAGGAGATGAACTACATTTTTTAAAAATGCTATTGATTTTACCAGGACTTAGAAGTTATTTACATATTTTTACAATAAAGTGTTTAGACATTTCAGGAAAATATTTCGTTAAAAAAAACTTGTGCCGGGTGGTGGTGGCGCACGCCTTTAATCCCAGCACTAGGGAGGCAGAGGCAGTCGGATCTCTGTGAGTTCAAGGCCAGGCTGGACCAACAGCCTCCAAAACAATACAGAGAAACCCTGTCTTGTAAAAACCAAAAAAAAAAAAAAAAAAAAAAAAAAGTTGTAAATTTGTTTCTTCCAATCTGTTTCAAGCATATAGCAAATTCCGAACCCCACAGCACAAAAAATGAACAGCATGCAAACAGTTAAAAATATCTTTACAGCCTTTGAGTAGACAGGAAATTGTATAAATGAGCAACAGAGTCAGAGTTCCAGCCTAAACTTAGCCAGTAGAGGCAGGTGGTCTGAGGAGTTGTGTTCATTGGGAAGTCCATTCACAGTCCACAGGTCTTGTTCTGTAAGAAGCGACAGTCTAGCTAGAAGTTTCAAGCCCCCAACCAAAGCATCTTCAGCTCCTAGTTGAAGAAGCACATATTCAGTGAAACTGTCATTAAGCAGGCAAGATTTTTTAAAACAGTGAAACTGAACCTGAAGCCTAACAAAAAACACCTTTAATCCCAGCACTCGGGAGGCAGAGGCAGGTGGATCTCTGAGTTCAAGGCCAGCCTGGTCTATTAGAGCAAGTTCCAGGACAGCCTCCAAAGCCACAGAGAAACCCTGCCTCAACACGGCTCCCCACCCCCAAAAAAGAAAAAACCACCAAACTACCTAGATGCATAGATCCAAGCTTGGCAGAGGCTGCCAAGGCGAGTGTAGGATAAGGGAACATGATTTGAGCCCAGTCATTGTCCAAGAGTGAAAAGAAAATGCTCTCAGCTCTGAGGAGACTGGAGCTGCTGATCCCTGACGCTCTCCTGCCACCTAGTGAACTCTGTGGGCATGGCAGCTTCCAGACTGCTGAGAGCTGGGCACACTGCAGAGAAGGAATTGCCCAGAAGGAACTAACTGGGAGTCGAAGCATCAGAAAAGGGGGAAGTATGCCTTGTCTAGGACCCCAGATATCTTCCAAATGTTTTAAGATTTCCAATTATCTCGATGTTTTCTGTTTTAAAACCTGATTTCTTGAGCTGTAACGGAAATGCACGCCGGCTTCCATTTCTGAAAACAGTCACAAGCTTTCTCCCGCAGATCAGCATGACTTCTAACCTAATGAATGTCAGGCTGGTGACTTCACCATCTACTCAGTGGCTGCCACAGGAAGGCAGGATTCATGGTGGCTAGGATTTAGACCTCAGACTCTGACTGGCACTGATGGGCCAGCGGAGGACACGCTTCCGTAAGGATCGGCCTTGGGCTGTTTAAGACGTGGGCATTCATCAGTGTTCAGCCAGCTCACTTCTGCACCCAGACCCCCCCTGCGCGCCGAGACCTCGGGCCCCTGCCCACGTCGCTCTAGCGGTGGCACACTCCTCACCTGGCCCCCTCGCAGCGTCCTCCTTCTCTGCAGAGTAGAAAATGTAATCAACAGTTATGGCGCTTTGGGAGTGGCAGGTGGTCACCTCTGGAAGCCCGGTGTCGGGAAGGTAGTGAGAATAGACAGAGGACAAGCTGAAGTGGTGCTGGAGACGTGAAGACACGCTACAGTGAGGGAGGAGGAGGAGGGGCTCAGTGTCCACAGTTCTCACAGCAAACAATTTCCCATCCACTACCTTTTACTGCAGTCCACACTAAGGCCAGGACACTTGTGATTGCTTAGTCTTTTGATTTTGTTTTTCAGACAAGCTTAGGCTGGCCTCAAATTTATGGCAATCCTTCTGTTTCAGTTGCTTGAGTAGTGGTATAATATGTGTAAGCCATCATACCTGGCTTTTTTGAGTTTAATTATGTAGCTCAGGCTAGCTTCGATCTTACCATATAGCCCAGGCTGGCCTCCATTTCATGACATGTCTGCCTCAACCTCCTGAGTGTTATGACAGATGAGACACGTTTCACTGAAATAACCATATCCTGAGTCAGGGCTCCTTTCAGTGACTGTGAAACCCAGCAAATGACCACCACTGGGGTAAAAAGCTGAAGAATCAATATGCTAATTACATCTTAGAGTGACATGTGTTTGAGAGCCTCCATGTAAATACTAAGCATGCACCACTGAACAGCTTGCACACCATGGTTGTTTTTAAGGATGCTCTAAGTCAATGCTGCGCAGGGCTGCAGGGCCTCTGGACCTCTAAGTCAATGCTGCGCAGGGCTGCAGGGCCCTCTGGACCTCTGCTGACCTCTAACCAATGCTGCGCAGGGCTGCAGGGCCCTCTGGATCTCTGCTGACCTCTAACCAATGCTGCGCAGGGCTGCAGGCCCTCTGAACCTCTGCTGACCTCTAGCCAATGCTGCGCAGGGCTGCAGGGCCTCTGCTGACCTCTAACCAATGCTGCACAGGGCTGCAGGGCCTCTGCTGACCTCTAAGTCAATGCTGAGCAGGGCTGCAGGGCCTCTGGGCCTCTGCTGGGAAGAAGCCACAGGCCTATCGTGGTCTACTCTCAGGACAGCTGCCAGAGTGGCTCACGTTCACTGTTGCAAAGACATGTCATGTCACAGACAAAAGGGTTAAAGGTTATTTTCTAATACATCAAGAATTTTAAGAGTGGTTTATGCTAAAAGGAAAAAAAAATTAGGGCATTTTTAAGTTCAACAAATATTTACCAAACATCTACTAAATTCTATACATGGTTGCATATGTTAAGGGACACATAAAAATGTAGCTCAGCGGTTAAGAACACTGGCTGCTTTTCCAAAGGACCTGGGTTCAATTCCCAGCACCCACATGGCAGATAACAACTGTCTATAACTCCTGTTCCAGGGGATCTGATTCCTGCATACAAACATATTTGCAGGCAAAATACCTATGTATATAAATAGTTAATTTTAAAAAGTAATTTTTTTCTCAGAATAACATACAAAGTAAAACTGAAAAGAGTGAGGATAAATTGAAGGAGATATGCTTCTGATGTGGTCCATACATTTAAATGTTGAAAAAATCTGAGTTACAATCTAAGATAAATATCTTAAGAACCTTAAAGAGACACCATGTAGGTCTGTCTTGATGTATTAACACAGATCCACTTCTCAATCAGCCTGAACATTTAGGGATCTTTTAAACTGATACAGGCTTTGTTTCTCTGCTTCTGATGGTTTTCCTTAAATGAGGATGACATCTCTATGGCATGGTGTTTGGGTCAGTCTGCCTGTAGACTGAGCTCTAGTTAGTGAGCCTGGAAATTTCAGAGCTCCTGGGCCAGACACTGCTTAAGCATGCCAAGCACCAACTACTGCTTCCCAAGCTCTGACTCCCTGGACCCTCACAACCCATGTAATACATAAGGGAACCTTAGAGATGCCTGGTTCTCAGTTACAGAGCAGCAGTAAGACAGGAATTCACGGTATCCATCTTAAACCCAGCAGCCTTTGCCTCCTGGAATAGCATCAACTTCATCTTGGATCCAAGTGTTTTCTGAGGTAATTTTTGGCATCTACCGCTGCTTTCCAGAACTCACTTTTCAGCTGCCATCAGGACCTCTGTCTTCTCCTGCTGTGCTTCCGCCAGATCACTACCGCTGTCTGAAAGAGCAGAGGTGAGCGTGTCAACCCAGTGTGCACACTGTTTTCTTCTAGGTTGCCACAGCACAGCTTTCTCTAGAGCCAAATTCATGGTATGTCTAGTTGAGGTCTGGTTAAATGTTTCATCCTATGGCTATATTTTGATGGTCTACAGAATCGGGGAAACATGCAAGCAACTCTAAGGCAATATGCAAGCTATTCATCTATAAATAAATGTTGGAATTTAACTTTTAAAAAGGAAATTTGGAACATATTAAAAGAAGGATGAGCAAATAGTTATTTATATACATGAACATTTATGTCCAAGATGCTGAAACTGAAATTTTAGCCTATGTTTCCACAGGGAAGACCATTACCCAGAAGACTGCCAAAATGTACTGCAAACACTCACCTGTCTTTTCTACTCTGGGAACCTGCGGTACCTCATATACACAGTTCTGAGAGATGCCTAGGTTTGGGGGCCAAATTGGAATAGATAAAATTCTCTGTCCCCGTGAAGACTGTTCCTGGCCAGATACCTGCACAGAATTTCAACAGGCACCTTAAGTGAATAGAGTTTAACTAATTTATATGTTGAAAATTTTATATCTTAATAAAAGTAATCAGAAATGGTAAGCATAGCCTTCATTTTATATAAATGATTACTTGTGATTATAAACTCCCATCCAAATACAGTTCAGTACTCACTCGTCATTTACATGGAAATCATAGGCTCTTCACATAGGTATTTTCCTCATTTGAACATCTAGGTATGTACAGCTTCCAGCTAATACTGTCTTACTCTTTTTGCTACCTGTAATATAGTTTCTGCTGTGTCAAATGCTGTGATTAAGTCAAATTTAAAACTATCACTGAAAATTCTGTTGGTGGAGGACTTATTCTGGTTAAATTGAAAACAAAATGATCTAAAACAAGCAGAGGAAAGCATGAAAATATCATTCAAAGCCCAGTAAGAATAATTCTGAGCTGAAGAGAACACGTATTCCAGCATTACACAGGACATTCCTATGTAAAGGAAAGCTTACACAATGAGCATGAAATGACTGTATTGCCCAAGTCCAGCATTCAGAACTCCTTCTACTCCCACCCCCGTGAAAGAGGGCTTTCAAGTTATCCTCGTCTGTCAACACTTTTCTTTCTACCAAGGTAATTCCTTCAAACAAAATCCAAAGTGGACAGGACAAACAAACCGAGTGAACAAAGCCACGCATTCGTAACTGAGGTATTAGATTGCCCAGTGGTTTTCACACAGCCATGCAACGACCATCCTCACTCTAACGACGACCAACTGGGCCCCTCATGCTGATGGGCAGAGCAGCTGAAGCCCACTCCTGCCAGATGAAGTGAGCACTTGCCTTTCCAATCGCAAGTCCTTCATAATTCAGCTTTCCTTCCTTTATGAAACTATAGAGTGGAGAACCAGGAACAGAATTAAAGTCACCACACATGACGATGGGACAGAAGCTACCGTCTTTCCGATGGGCCACACTGGAAATCTCTGCAAGCAGCATTGCCAATTGGGTGAGCTTAATATCTCCTCGCCGTGGGTTATACAGGAGATGTGTGTTAGCTATGCAGATGGAGGGGGAGGCTGCACGTGGGATCCTGGGCTGCAGGAGTAACACCAGTCCAATGTTGTCCCTGTCCAGCAGAGGGATGTCACGGCGGCAGAACTCCACCGGGTTCACTGACAGGAGTGAAAATCTGGAGTGTTTGAAGCAAATGGCACAGCCGTCGGGTTTCCTTCCTGTCTTCATCTTATATTCACAATGATAACCTACAAGGAGTGAGTTTGAAAGAGACTGTCAAAGCACACCCCTCTTGATAGTTTGTGGCAGTGTTTGACAAAGCATGTGTTGTAAGACAGGATGCTAGTCTGTGTTAAAACCACAGCTTAGGGCTAGAGTCGGGGACGTCAGGGGAGACCATGGGCCCAGCTAGCCTAAGAGTATTTTAACTTCAGCACTTAAGAAAATAAATTCTGTAACATCTTATTTCTTTTTTCTCTTCTCTCTTTTGGGGATGGTAGTGGTGTTGGGGATCAAACCTCACAAATATTAGGCAGGCACTCTACCATGGATCTACATTCCCAGCTCAAAAGTCTTCTGAGACAGGGACTCACTATGGACTTCATGCTACCCGTGAACTTACTCCGAGTGGCCTTGATCTCCTGATTTTAATGCCTCAGCATCCCAAGTGCTGGGACTTCAATGTGGCCACCACACCATACACCTTGTAATGTCTAAACAAGCAGAGAGCAGGCTCCCATACTTGTAATACAAGCATTGGAAGGAGGCGGGTGCATTATGAGTCTGAGCCAACCTGGGTCATACAGCAAGACCTTGTCTCAAAACCAGTATGCACAGTAGCTTTCTTTACTGGCAGATTTAACCCCCCCCAACTCAGTCATGACAAGGATAGTAAGGCCTTACAGTAGTTTATTCTGAGCTTTTTGCCCTCTTTTCCCCATCTCATCTCTGTGGACCACACGGCCTGAATACATGTCAACATTAGAGCCTTTCCGTGCTAGCTCTGCTGGCTAGGTGCTCTAGGTACAGCCCCACCTTCACTTGCCCGCTGCTTGTTTATGCACACCGAGAGGAGGCGGCCAGCTGCTGAGACAGTGCTGTGCTCACTTTCTGGAGCAGTGCAAAGTATAGGCAGGCACTCAGAAAACACCTGCTAAGTGAATGAATGCCACATGCGCATTTTCCTATTTCCTGTCTATAAATTCTAGAAGCTTCATCAAACAAGGCTTTATCTTTTATCTGCAAGGCCATTGTAAAGCCTACTCTTGAAGGCCTGGTCCCTGACCTTGTGCAGCACAGACCCGCAGAGGTGCAGCAGCTGAGTGACTGGAAACATTTCCCTTTCAAGATCAGATCAACATGAGATTTCCAGCAGAAATGCCTCATTATTTGCTGGACATTTAGAAATACGCATCACATTTTCAAAATTAAGAGTTATCCCAAAGGCACTGGGAATGGCTCAGCAGTTAGGAGCAGCTGCTGTTCTTGAAGAGGTCCCGTGTGTACTGCTGGCCACCCATATGCTAGCTCATAACTGCTTGTAACAAATTCCATAGGATCCAATGCCCTTTTCTGGTCTCCACAGACTCGGGCCCCACACATGGCACACAGACATACAAGCAGACCCCCCCCCACATACACACACACACGAAACAATAAATAAATGAAATTCAAAAGTCATCCCCAGAGTTGGAGAGATGCTCAGTGGTTAAGAGGACTGGCTGCTCTTCCAGAGGACCAGGTTCAGTTGCCAGCACTACACAGTGGCTCACAACCACGTGTGACTCCAGTTCCAGGACATCTGATACCCCTTTCTGACATCATGAATGCAGGCTAAACTTACACACATAAAAATAAATCTTAAAACTTTAAAAAAAAAAGCTAGTTGATGGTGGCGCACATCTTTAGTCCCAGCAAAAGTAAATAAAGGTTACAGTGTACCCAGTGATTCCAGACTTGGCTTGATTTCCGTTCCATAATGGTCTTCTTGAACTTCCTGCAGACAAAGCACCTTCAAGAAAACAGTGGTTTGGATTAAAACACAGATGACAGCCTGGAAATCAAAGTCGCATGTATATCTTTTCTTATTCCTAGAATAAATAATTCTCTTCCTTTTAATTATTTTGTTCATTTATTCGAGACGGGGTCTCTCTGTGTAGTCCAGGCTGTCCTGGAACTCACTCTGAAGACCAGGCTGGCCTTGAACTCAGATCTTCCTGTCTCTGCCTCCCAAGTGCTTTCGACTAATGGCGTATACCACCACTGGCCACTGTTTTTTTCTTTAAACTTTTTGAAAAAAAACTATTGCTCAAATATTTAATATCACAAGAAATGTGTTTCTAAACACCTTAGTATCTCAAACCCACGGCCCACACTCATGTGGAATAGTACTCTTACCATTTAAAATGGTCTATTTCCTGAAAGAACTTTTTGTGTTCTTATATGTGAGGTTCTCTTTCCTGAATTTCCATGTTCATCATGACTAAGCTTTTGAGTGTCACTATAGAACTCAGAGTTGTTCTCCTGTCTCAGCTAGATTACAGGCTTGGGTGACTTTATTTTTACTTTAGATATGAATGTTCTGCCTGAATTTCTGTGCACATGTTCATGTAGTGCCCACAGAGGCAGAAGAGGATGCCAGATCCCCTAGAACTAATGGTAAGGATGGTCGTGAGCTGCTATGTGGGTGCTGGGAACTGAATTCAGGGCTTCGAGAAGAGCAGTCAGGGTTTGTAAGCATTGAACCATCTCCCCAGCCCTATGGTACTCTCCTAAAAGGTGGTTTCCTCCAGCATCCCTCCTGCCAAAACAAAAACGAAACAACCTGTTTCCTTAGCTGGGCATGCTGGCACACGCCTGCACTTGGCATTCCGTAGGTAGAGACAGGAACACCAGGAGTTAAAGATCATTACAGGCCAGTGTGAGCTATCAGAGGTCCTGTCTTAAACAAAAAAAGTAACCGGCATTCTTTAAATGCTGTCATCTTACCTTGTAGATGAATTTGTGCACAAATTATTGAAATTTCAAGTCCAATATTTTTACTTAAAATGCTCCGTCTGATCCTCAAAGTTGACCAATACTTTAAAACTTTCAGCTCTTTTGAAAAGCTAGGTGATTATTTCTCAGTGACCAAAAACAAGGAAGCCGCATCTGGCTGACAGCTCCTTACCCCAGACAACATGCAATAGCACACTGCCCAGAATGCACACTTTTCCTTAGGAGAAAAGCTGACCCTGGTTTACACACTTACATCTGCATCAAAATGCTTGATTTCCTTCAGAATATTGGGGAAGCGGAAGCCCCAGTGTAACACTGGGCGCCGGCAGTGTCTGTAGAGATGTGAGTTGTCCTCCAGTAAATCTTGTGAGAGTATATTGTAAGACATCACTGAAAAGTCAAACTTTTCCCCACTGTCCTCGCACGTGGAGGCAACGTTTTTGTCTTCTAGGTCCTTCGTTTTTTCTTTATTATGGCCACATAAATACTCCCAATTCCTTTTTATTGTTCCTGTTAAAATATATTGGACAAAATAGAAAAGAATCAACCAAAAGGAGAGCAGATAGTTTTCTGTTCACAAATACTTTTTCACTTAAAACTCCCTCAGCCACTGAGTAAAATGGTTTTCTTTGGAAACACCAAGCTAACAGTGAGGCTTACAAGCTGTCACAGTGGGCTGACTGAGCAGAATCCACGCTGACTGAGGCTGGCACATCTTTCTGGAGGCTGCATCTGCCATTGGTCTCTGGTTCAGAAGATGTCCATCAGTCATGCTGAACATTCTTTAACACAATGAGAGACTCTACCAGAGCCAGCTTTCCAGAGAGGATTTCCTAGCATATTTCATTCCATATCAAGATCACTGGTTACCTTAGTCTAGAATTCTGGTCTATGCATGAACAGAGGGTTACATAGAACGAAATGTGAGAACAGTGTTTAGTGTCTAAAGGTTAGAGTGGGGAAGCACAGACAGAATGAACAAAATGAACTGTTACAAATTATAGACGACAACCAGGTGGTGGTGACAACACTCCTTTAATCCCAGCACACAGGAGGCAGAGGCAGGCAGATTCAAGGCCAGCCTGGTCTACAACGCCTGGTTTAGGACAGGCTACACAGAGAAACTGTCTGGAAAAACGAAAGGGGAAAAAAATCATAGATGATAAAATGAGTCTCGTAATATAGGGATACCAAAACACGAGTTAACATGACATTACAGAATGCTCTAGACAAACAGCAGAAGCTGGTGAATGAGTTTTGTATACAACCACCAAGTATGCAGCAGAGATCAAACTCTGCAAAGTCACAGCACTCTTTTAAAAAGCAGTGAAAAGTATAAAAATAATGTGATTCTGTAATTACAGAAACTTCTCGACTGAGAAATTATCATTTTCTAAGGGTGCATGTGTGAATATATACATATGCATACATATTTTACCTATGTGTATGTATATATGATATATATATATATATATGAACACATATATAGATAAATATATCCCAGGCCTGGGGGCACATGACTCCCGAGACTTTCAGCACTCGGGAGGCTCAAGTAGGAGGATCAAAAGCTCAGGGTTAGCATGGTCTGCATGGTCTGCTCAAGGACTGCCTGAGATACATGTAGTGAGATTCAAAAAAAGGGGGGCTGGTCATTACTTAGTTGTTGAGCACCTATCTGGCAAGTGGGTTCAATGCCCAGTGCCAAAAAATAGCAAGTAAATACATTCATCTTTGACTTCCTGTCTTATTATGCCACATTAGTGAGGACATATGCTTAATTTCATGGAAGCCATGAGAAAATGATGGACATTTAGTTAACCCACAAACTCAACAATGAGGAGGAAACCTACCCAGAAGGAATAGATTTGGAAATGGCTGGCCAAGCAAGCTAGGGTAAATGACAGGCTATCGTCCTCTGTCCTGCACACAGGTTTTCATGTCACTAGACTACAATACCTAAAATTCTAAGTGAAGTTGCCTGAGCATGGGGCCTACATCTGAGGCAGGAGGACTGCCAAGAGTTTGAGGTCAGCCTGGGCTACAGTGTGAGTCCCTGTCTCCAAAATCAAACCAAATAAACCAAAAAGGAAACATCAAAACAGTAAACTTACATGCAGAGTGAAAAGGAAATATATGCTAATATGCTGTCAATAAAACATGTTATGGGAAGTTCATTACATCGTGGGAAAGTGTATCACGGGAATGTCATTACAGCAAGTTACTTTCCTCGGTGTCTAAGCATCTATCTACCTCCTGCATGGAGGGTTAGACATTTGACCACACAGAGGGTCATCAGTGTGATTAGTGAGGGCTGGATGGACTGAGGGAGCTAATGGTAGGAAGATGCTAAGGGAAGGGATCCAGAAAAAGGTGGAAAGAAAGAAAATCAAAATAGAGAAAAATCTTTGACAATACAGAATTCTGTCCAAGGCAGTCTCATACCCAGATGAGCGAAAGAACTTAGCCCTCCCTTTCCTACACTGAAAGACTTAAAATTAAAGCTAATGGTACTAGCTCCACAGAATTATACTGAGTTACAATCACAAGCTGGGGTGTTCCCTGCCGGTTCAGCCAGACTGAAGTTTTCGTAAGATGGAAGGGCTCCATCATGCAGTGTGCAAGCTTTCACCCCACTACAGCACCATCCTCTGTCACTACCTCAATGAAATACACAAATAGAGATCCAGACACTCATTTGCTGTTTCTTATAAGCATGTACATACAGTGTACATGAAATACATGGAGACTATTCGGGTCCTGGTCAGGACTTTGTAATGGCACTTCTTAAATAATAGTACGGTGGCTTTCAAACTTCTACAGCTCGTGGAGCCCACTGGCATCCTTTTCCTGTCCCAAGAACACCATATCTCTGCTGAGGGGGAAACACAGTCCACCCTGACCACCTTTGTTTTTACTAAACAGACACAAATGTGTTTAAATGCTAGGTTCCATGGAGGACTCCCTCACAACCATTGACACAGTGAACAGTCTCTGGTCGTCATACAATTTACAACAAATTCACACTGCAAAAGCTTATATACCTTCCATGTCAGGAGGAACAAGGTGATCACAGCAGAGAAGAGAGATGAACCAAAGAAAGTAAGCAATAGGCCTGAGCAGGTATTGGGTGCCTAATTACAAAGTCAAAATTGTGTCACACAAATCCTTCAAAACTTTAAAGTGACAGGCAAATTAGTAAAGGCTGTTCTCTTGATTGAAAAATATTAGTGAAATATCGGAAGTCACATATATGGCTTAACGAAGAGCCTTTTCCTTATTCTCAACACCTAGGAAGAATGGACAGATAAGAAGTCAGGTAGCAATCAGAGATTACCAGTATATCAATGTAATTCCCCATCCAGTTCTGGGAAAACACCACCACCACCACAGTTTTCTGAGTAGTCATTATGAAGCCAGTATTACATCAGGCATGTAGACATATCTCATTTTGTCTGTAACAGGCATTCATAATAGGTGTTATTTATTACACCAGAAAACCAGGGAGCAGAGGTTAGGTGGCCTTTCCAAGCTTGTGCAAGCCACAGCGGCAGAGCACAGAGGGTAGGGAGTGCTTCCTAAACTTTACCATGCTTACGCTGCATGTCAAAATCCCATCTGCAAGCATACAGAATTACCAAAGGTTTCAAGACAGGAGTGTGAATTGGCCTAATGAACACAAATGAAAAACTGGGGCCTTCTAAGGACCCTGATTTCAATGTTTCATATGATCACTTATTTCCATATGCTATAGTTACATGTTATATACACGGATTTCCATAGTCAAGGACTTAGTGTCTACTTACATGTGTGTGTCTATTTGAACTAGCTCTTTGTAACTGTAGCAATCAATTTCTGCCTTGGGACCCAGGTGAATCCTCCAGAGAACGTTATGGCAACAAAGGACAAGGAGTCTGAACACTGAGGGCTCAGGAGCTCGCTTTCAGCTCTCCGCCTCTGCCCCAGCTCCCTACACACCAGCGCCCGCGCAGCCGCCTCCAGGGTTCAGTAACAAGGGCAGTTCGAGCGAGTTCTTACATACCTCATGACACACTGGGATCAGAGTGGGTGGGGTGCATGAGCTGTCTAGAAGTGAAAGCAGCACAAGAAAAGCAGATGGAATCAATATGGAGTCTCAGGAGGCCCACAAAGTTGAGTAAGACATGGCTCCCTTTCTAAAAGGTAATAATTCTGACTCTTGGGTTTCTAGGACTGGGCATATAGTTGGGTTCAATCCCTAGCATTGAATAAAAGAAAAATATATATGTAAGCTATTTATAGACTCCAATTTGGGAAATACAGATTTAACATGCTAAAATCTTATTCTGTAACATTTAATTTATGGTTGTTTCTAACAAAAGAATCCTTTTATATTATCTATTTAAAGTCACTATTAAAATGAAAACACAAATTTTTTTTTTAGATCAGCAATTTCCCCTGGCAATCTAATCTCTAAGTCATCAAAGACTCTTTTCAAAAAATGCTGGACATGAAAACTATTCTTAATTTTTTCATTTTTACCTACTTCTGTTTTCTACAATGTGATTTAATCAGTAGAGCCATTTTCTACTTTCATATTCTTATATGGTCTACTAAGTACTTACACAAACTATGTAAATCTACTTACACAGTCTACTTATATAGTCTTATAGTCCTTTTCTACTTTATAGAAAGAGACACAGTTGAAAATGAAGACACCATTCCTAACAGAATAGCTGCTGGCTAAAAATAAACACATCTCTAAAATATGGACGACGATGATGATGACGGTTCATGGTTAGATTCTATTGCTTCAACTTAGCTGTTGTTAACATCTGTTCCTTTACCAAGATAAACATCTCCTTTACCATGGCGTTTTCTTCGTTTGGATGAGGGCTCATCTTTGTCAGAATTCATGATGTAACTGGAGAGATGGATCGAGGATGTGTTGCTCAGATGGTCAGGTCTCCAATTATAGTACTGAAACTGAGCTCCAGACTCACAAAGAAGAGGTGGCCTACAGTTCAGTGAGAAATGCCTGCTACTCAGGTATGGGTAGGGCACACGAGAGTAATGTCCAGGCCACCTCAGACAACTGGAAATGTGTCTGTTCCAACAATACCTCTGCAGATCTTCCAACGGTGTAGTCCAATCTTGACCCAAACTCTTCAGAGGATAAGGAAACATGGAGTACCTAGAAGAAACAGAGATACTCCTTGAGGTACCACTTTTTTTTCAGCTATAGTACATAAAATTCAAACTATGTTCTCCAGGTGAGATGTCATCTCATATTTAAATTTACTTCTAAATCTGTGAAGGATGGCCAGTCAGTAGTGGTGCACCGTGGTGATATTTTATTTATGATCTAACAAATAAAGCTTACCTGAAGATCAGAGTACAAAGCTAGCCACACTAGTTAGCCACAGAGGCCAGGCAGTGGTGGACACGCCTTTAATCCCAGCACTAAGGAGGTAGAGGCAGACGTGATATGGCTGGGCAGAGAGGAACGTAAGGCAGGAGGAGACAAAAGAGAGATGCAGTCTGAGGAGCAGTGCAGTCTAAGCAGTCTGAGGACAGGATCTGAGTGTTGGCAGAGATAAGAACTCTCTAGTGGCTGGCCACTTTGCCTCTCCGATCTTCAGCATTAATTCCAATATCCGACTGTAAATTTTTATTATTAAGAACAATTAGGCTGGGCTGTTGTGGTGCACACCTTTAGTCCCAGCACTTGGGAGGCAGAGGCATGTAGACCTCTGTAAGTTCGAGGCCAGCCTGGTCTTAAGTTCCAGGACAGCCTCCAAAGCTATACAGGGAAACCCTGTCTCGAAAAACAAAAAAAGAACAATTAGAATTAGTGCTAAAGTGAACACCTTTGATCCCAGCACTGGTGAGGCAGAGGCAGGTAGATCTCTGAGCTCTAACCAAATAAAAGCATGCACGCACACACACACACACACACACACACACACACACACACACACACACACCAGCATTCCCACCGTTTACAAGGATGCTGGGTTCTCTTGCTGTCCCAGACAGCACTTAGAGAGCTGAGCCATCTTCCCAGCTCACCAGGCTGCTCTCAAGTTCCCAGAAAGCACTGCACCTTGCATATGGACTCCTGACTGCATTCTCTGCAAAAATGTTAGGATTCAAAGAACTCCATTCCCTGGGATTTTTGTGTCAACACTGACTATCATCAGCCGGATTCTGCTTGAGTTGCATTTCCTTAGTACATGCTATTTTTCATTTGAAAATACTTAGCTTTGACTACACATTTGAAACTTAATAGTCTCAAACTGCTCTCTGAACCAAACTTGACTATAAATCTTTAAAGGCACTATCTTGTCACTGACCATGAAAGACATTCAAAGTCATTCAGTACTTGGACCTTTTTTTATTTTTAAAATTCAAAAAGAATTTTTTTGAGCCAGGCATGGTGGTACACACCTTTCATCCCAGCACTCAGCAGGCAGAGGCAGGCAGATCTCTGAGTTTAAGACCAGCCTGGTCTGCAGAGAGTTCCATGACAGCCAGGGCTACACAGAGAGACCCTGTTGTCTCTAAAAAACAAAAACTGGTCTTGAACTCTAAATCCTCCCGTTTCAGACACCCCCAAGCCCCCACACCCCGAGCGTGCTGGAGCTGTGGCTTTACCATCCTGATAAGTGACTATACTGCAACCTGCACCGTGGCACTTATTCTCTGGATTGGCAGCAATTTATGCCACTATCTTTTCTGAGGACCAGAGCCTCTATTTACTTTGACCGGGTCTCTGGTTCTTAGAAAACACCGCTGAACTGAACTGCCACAGGAACCAGGCATAGCAGAGTTCAGCAGACTCCAACAGCTTATGTAACGATGCTGCGCTGCTTCCCACGCGTGGCACACCAGACGGTTTCAAAGGTTACGAAAACCTTTAGAACCTCAGCATCTAAGTCTTTAAGTTTATTCGAGAAAAAAAAGCCACAGTCGGTGCATCAAATCTAAGATTCGGCGGGCACTCTTTGGGGTGACATTAACAGAGGCGGCATGTACTGTGGCGCTTTAAAATTTCAAGGGAGTTTTTATTTATTTATTTTTTTTAATTTTGGAAGCGGAGTTTTACTTCAAATTCAGGCCAAGCTCAAAGCCACGGCTATCCTCCTGCCTCAGCCTCCCGGGTGTTGAGATCGCAGGAGTGAGCCATCGTGCCCGACTCTCCAGGAATGAACTTAAAGAAAAACACGCGCCAAGGGGTGAGAGCTTCCGAGCGCCGGCGGAAAGCTGGCCTCCGGGTGACGCAAGTGTGCGAGCCGAGGGCGCTGGCACAGCCACCCCGGGGCGCGCAGCCTCCCTCCAGGCCAGGCCTTGCGCGCGCGCGCACGCACGCGCGGACGGCGGCGGCGAGCGTGGAGGCCGCGCGAGGGCAGCCGGACCCCGGAGGCCGCCGCCGCCCGCCCGGCCGCCCGCGCGTTACCTCTCCCTGGGTGCCGCCAGGCGCGTCCCCGCCGCGGACCCTCTTCCTCCGCCTTCCTCCCGCGCCGCGCCCCGCCCCGCTCCGCCCCGGGCCGCCCGCCCCTCCCTCCTTCCGCCGCACGCGACTGACCGGCCTCGCCCCGCCACACAGCGGCCGTAGCCCCTCCTCACACAGCGCCACGTCTCCATCTTGGCTGTCTGCGCGAGTCCAACGCCCAGGCCCGCGGCTGCGCCTCAGCCCCGGACGCTCGCAGGGCCCCGCCGGATCCCCATCGCTCCGGCTCGGCTCGGCTCGGCTCGTGCTCGGTTCGGCTCCGCTCGGCTCCCAGCTGGCCGGCCGCTACGCATGCCGGGAGGAGCGTCTCGCCGCCGGATGGGCCGCCATCTTGCCTTCAGGGGCTAGTCCTTCGGCGGCGCGACTCCAGGCATGCGCAGAGCGTGCGCGCGAAGCCGCTTCCGCGTAGGACACCAATCCGGACCGCCTCTTAAAGGTGTGAGCCGGTGCTGAGCGGTACTGATGTGTGTTTTTTTTTATGTGCCTGGGTGGATCATTCCAGTTCCAGGGAATCTGGTGCTCTCTTCTGACCTCTGTGGGCACCAGGCATGCATGTAGCTCACAGACATACATACCGGCAAAACACCAAATACATCAACAATAAATAAAAATGTGGAAAGAATTTAGTGCCGAGTCTTATCACCCCTTTCTTCCCAAAGCCTGTGGGTCATTGCAGGAGGGAGCAGAATGACCAGAAGAGGCAGAGGAGGTGGGTGATTGTAGGGAAACTTCCAGACACAATGGGCAGTTGTACACACAGACTCAGCGTGCACAAGACCTGTGCGAAGTCAGGCCACACAAAGTTCTCGGGGGGGATGGGAGATGCCATGACGTCTCAGGGAGATGATGCCATGACGTCTCAGGGAGATGATGCCATGACGTCTCACCCTTCACTGGGGAGCCTTTGGCAGCTGATGTCTGTAGGAAGAAGGAAAAGTGGGTTTTCTTCAGGGATGCATCCCTCATACTCCAGGACATGGCCCTACCCTCATAAGTGGACCTGGAGGGTTCAAAAGAAAACCGCACAGGAATCAGAAGGGGATAAGGGAGGAATTGGAGGGGATGAAGGGGATGGATTTGATCAATACATCATATGCACGTATGACATTCTCAAACAATTTTTAAAAAAGGGTTTAGCGCAGAAATAGACGCGAATGAAACCAGTTCACCTAGTCTTTCCCCTGAAAGGAACTGAAGTATTTTGGAGCCCGGATACTCGCCCAGACCTGAGACCCGAGCAGTGTCTGTTGCCCTGGGGTTGCCAGGCTGATCTGGAACAGAAAGAAGGCACCGAGTGGGTCGGGAATGAAGTCAGTGTCCCTCTGCGGATCACATCGGCAGTGGAGACACCTTTCAGAACATGACAGTGGCACTGGACCGCACTGAGGACTCTGGGACTGGAAATGGAGAAAATGGGGGTTAGCGTGCAGTCAGGTCGGTAGACCGCTTCCCTGGCATGCACGGAGTCCTGATTTGATCCCCGGCACCACGAGAACCGGGTGTGGTAGTGCACACCTGTAATTTGAGCATTCTCAAGATGGGAACAGGAGGATCCGGTGTTCAAAGTTACAAAGAGGGATCAAGGCCAGCCTGGGATACATGAGATTCTATCTAAAAAACAAAAATTATTCTAGAAATAGTTATCAAAACGTAGCAAAAAGGAAAGTAGTACTCAGAATCGGAATTTTGAGCCATAGCAGAGATCTTAGAATTACCTGAAAAGTAGCTTTCAAGTTTCTGAGCAGGAGAGGGGCCAGGCCACAACAGGTATGGCTGGAAATCCGTGCACGATGGGAAGGACCAGTCGACTTTGCTCCGAGTGCATGGAGGGCGGGGCCAGGACCGGCACAGCACTTATGGCTTGCTAACCAGTTCAGATCATCTCTGATGGAGTGGCCCCATCTCTATAGATTCCAGAGGATCCTAACTGCACTGGCAGTCGGGATCTGTTCACTCACTCCGTTATCCCTACTCTCAAAAAGCAAACATTAGAGACGGGTTGAAGCACTTGGCTTCCCCCGGAACAAGCCAGTCCCGCAGCTTCAATCACTGGCCTAGTGCTTTCCCCTCCCACGCGTATCGATGCAAGCATTTTTAACAATAGATCACGATTTTACATGTTTTAAAGCTATAAAAATGGCCGGGCGCTGGTGACGCACGCCTTTAATCCCAGCACCTGGGAGGCAGAGGCAGGCAGATCTCTGTGAGTTCGAGGCCTCCAGGACAGCCTCCAACGCCACAGAGAAACCCTGTCTCGAAAAAAAAAAAAAAAGATATCGCATCCTGTATCTTTCTACAACTTACTTTGCACTCTCAGCACTCTGTTTTAAGATTTAACCACACTAGTCCTAGGGGTGTAGTTCAGTGGTAGAATACTTGGTTAGTATGCTCAAGGTCCACCCCCAGCACTTCAAAAGACAACTTGAAATATTTTGTTCTTATGCATTTGTACTTCCTAGCTTTCGTTTTCGCTATTGTCCTCAATGCTTTTAGAAGTATTGCTCGTATTTTTGGTGTTTCTTTGTACAGTCCTGAGGGTGCGGTTACCAAGGATGACGGACGCTGTTCATGCACTAGGGGAGATAGAGATTCCTGTTACTCCATATAGTGATTTCATTTCTATTTCTGACAGGGTTTACTACCTTCCTCTTTCCTTTCATCCTTCCTTCCCTTTGTTGAGACAAGGGTTTGCTCTTCAGCTCAGGACTCACTGTGTAGCCTAGGCTGGTCTTGAACTTGCTATCTGTATCTTGCCTCCATTTTCCTTGTGCCAGAATTACAGTTTGTACCTCCATACCTAGCTCCTAACACAGATACTCTAATATATATTATTAGATATAGATAATGTTAATCTAATATATTAATATACTATTATATATTGTATAATTAATATATCTATTAGTATAGATAACTATATATATATATAATGAACATATATATTCATCATATATATGTTGTGGGATGCCCTTCTTTATGTTGTAAATATATGTTGCTTTTATTGGTTGATGACCTACCTGTACACAGCAGTCCAGAAGCTCTTCAAGCAGACCTCCCTCTTCTTTGGGTTTTGTTTTTGTTAATGGAGATGCTGTACATCACTATCCTCTGAGCCAAACACCCACCACCTTAGTTAGCTCAGCTGTGCCCTACATGTAAAGATCTTTATAGCTGGGCTTGTGAGTGCTGACTTCCTCACAGAAGGAAGATGCGGGGAGCGGCCTGAGACCTCGCCTACGCATCCAGCTACTCCTGCAAACAGTGTGCGCAGTTCTGCAACCAGGGGAGGCTGGCGTGTATAGACCAGAGAGACCAGGAAGGGGGCTACATCGATGTGACCATCCACTGGAAAGCCTTCACCCATGCTGAGGACAGCTGCTTCTGGGCATCTCATGCTGTAGTAGTGAGCATCCTCTAAGAAAAACTCATTGGTTCCCTGGTGGGGGGGAAGGGGGAATTTAGGTAGAACCAAAATGAAGTTTATCTTTGGGACCTTAGGAGGCCGTTAGACTTTGCCTAGGCCCTCACCCTCAGAGAGAATTCCTAAGGAAGACCTAAACATGGCCTCACCTGAGGTTTGAGAATGGACTGAAAGTGCCAACCCTCTAATCATGTGGTTGTTTTCACTGACTACTTAGGTTCCCCACCTCCAAGGCCCCAGACATAAATTATGCTGACATCACAGAAAAAAAAAGATACTTAGCACATAAGAGATTCTATGTTTCAGCACCTGTGTATCACAGAAAGGAACTAAAAACCTGCTTAATTTTCATATTATAACTCATACTATGTACTAGAAAACAAGAACAAGGATCAAATACAAATGCTTCTTATTCTAAATCGCACAGTGAATGGAGACTCTGAAGGGCCAAACTTTATTGTGGGCGTGTTTGCACACACACCTGTAATTCCAGCAACTGGGAGGCGGTAGTAGGACAATCAAGATTTCAATGTCATTTTCAGCTACATGATGAGTTTGCAGTCATAGTGGTGCACGCACACTTAAAGGCAGAAGGATTGCAAATTTAGGTCAGCCTGGGATTTGTAGATAGTTAAGGATAATCTGCAATATAGAGATACCCTGCCTCTAATGGAACTGGAAAGTTCCTGGGCCAGACTGTAAGGCTCTGGTTGGGCAGGTGTGTGTGTGTGTGTGTGTGTGTGTGTGTGTGTGTGTGTGTGTGTACCTCATAATGACAACCTGGACTGTTTTTACTAGAGATGTTAGCTTATCCGGAAATATTTCTCAGGATTTGGAGGTGACCAGAACATTTGTCATTGAGTAAGGTGAGTTGAGCAACACCTTAAATTCTTTTTTATACTTATCTTTTAGCTTTTCCTTACTTTCTATGCATCACCAAAATATTTTTAAAAGAACAAAAAGACAAGAGTAATTTTATACCCTTTAATTACATATGAATGGTATAAACATATATGTATGATTCTGTAACTGTAATGTGGTAGATTTTCACTTAAAGAACAGGATAAATTTGCATTAATCAATAATCCAAAATAGATTATTGCATAGTATCACAATACTCATTTATTTTACAACACCATTTTCCACATCTATTTACTTTAAAATTTTTAATTGGTCGATCCATAGTACTTATTTATCATGTATTTGGTACATAGATACAGCTGCAGTGATTAAGTTAGAATAAGTAACATAACCATCACATAGAATATTTATTATTTCTTTGTTGAAGAACATTTAAGATCTTTTCCTCTAGATATTCTGAACTATCCGAGGTATTATTACCAACTATAGCTGCCCTATTGTTCTGTAGAATGTTAGAACTTAGGCTCTTTTTTTTTTTTTTTTTTTGGTTTTACGAGACAGGGTTTCTCTGTATTGTTTTGGAGGCTGTTGGTCCAGCCCGGCCTTGAACTCACAGCGATCTGCCTGCTTCTGCCTCCCGAGTGCTGGGATTAAAGGCGTGTGCCACCACTGCCCGGCTGACAACACCCATTCTTGAGGTACAAAAAAATATGAACACCTGACAACCCTTTATGTATTGAAACCATGTTACTTTCATTATCATTGAAACCAAAACCATGTTACTTTTGTTATCATTGAAGTTGTGTTACTTTTTGTTTTTGTTGAAAACAAAACCATGTTACTTTTGTAATCATTGAAACCATGTTACTTTTTGTTCTTGGTTTTTAAAAAAAAAAATTATTTATTTATTTTATGTGCATTGGTGTTTTGACTGCATGTAAGTCTGTGTGAGGGTTGTCTGATCCTTGGAACTGGAGTTAGATAGTTGTGAGCTGTCATATGATTTTGGGAATTGAACCCAGGTCTTCTATAAGAGTATCCAGTGCTCTTAACCGCTGAGCTGTATCTCCAATGCCCCCATATTACTTTTTGTCTATAACTTGTGCTTTTATTTCTTCTGTGATGTTCTTTAAATGATCTCTAGGAAGTTGCTTTTATTTTTAAATTATTTAAAGTTTTAGGTTCACCTGTGAGCTTGAGCTTGTGTGTATGTATGTATGTGTGTCCTGTGCCTGCAGAGGTCGGAAGAGGATGTCAGATTCGTAAGAAATGGAATTTTAAGGATGATCACCAGCTACCATGTGGATGCCAAGAACCAAACCTGGGTCTTCTGCAAGACTAAAAAGTGTTCTTAACCACTGAACTCTCTCTCCCGTCTATTTTCTGTCCATCCACCACGTGTGTACCAGTGTACCATGACCCAAGTGGAAGTCAGAGGGCAGCTTGTGGGAGTTGGTTCTCTTCTTTGTCATATTGATTTGGAGGATTAAACTCAGGCTGTCAGGCTTGGCAGCAAGTGACTTACCTGCTGAGGCATCTCTCCATCCCTAATTAACATTAAAGAATTACATTTATTTGTGCATGCACATATGTGGGCATGACACAGCATGTGTGTGGTGCGGAGGACAACATGCAGGAGTCTGTTTAGTACTTGGGAGTCAACTGAGGTAATTAGGCTGCTGGTAAGTGCCTTTATGCAATGAGCCATTTCCCTTGTCCCGTGGATTAGCTTCGATTTTAGCTTTGGTTAATTTAGACATGGTTTCTGTTGTTTATGCTGGTTTAAAACCTTTGTCTAGTAAGAGTATCAGCTCCCTTTTCTTGTAGACATTGTTTTTATTGCACATGTATGTATTTTAATCCACCCCTGTATGGGGACCATACTTTACTTTTTTTTTTTTTTTTTTTTTTTTTTTGGTTTTTCGAGACAGGGTTTCTCTGTGGCTTTGGAGGCTGTCCTGGAACTCACTTTGTAGACCAGGCTGGCCTCGAACTCACAGAGATCCGCCTGCCTCTGCCTCCCGAGTGCTGGGATTAAAGGCATGCGCCACCAACGCCCAGCACTTTTTGTTTCGTTTTAATTTTTACTTTTTTGTTGTTGTTGTTGGTTGTTTTAGTACTTACTTACTTTAGACAGGGTCTTACTATGGACCCCTGGCTTGGAACTGGAGATACTCCTGTCTCTGGGATTACAAGCATTCACTTTCATACCCAGCTGTGGTGGTTAAAATGAGAATGGTCCCCATGGGCCCTTGAATTTGAATCCTTGGTCCCCAATTGTTAGAGGTGTTTGAGAATGCTTAGGGGGTATGACTTTGTTGGAGGGAGGTGTGTCGC